TATTTGAAAGTTATGTTACTACATATGTTTCGTTGATCACTTCATTTGATACATATGCATCCATTAAGGAAAGGTTAGTTATCTAAATATAATAGTCTTTTATAACAAGGGAATTTTCTAATATAGTCATCTATTCCATATTATTCTCTTTGTGAGTCTTCTATATTTGATAAGTATTACATAATAAATCTTTCAATTTGGAGGAAAATTTTCTCAAAAATAAGAGTAAATTTTATTAATAATTATCTATAACAGTGTATTTTTCATTTATAGTCTTCAACTCTAAGAATTATGTTTGTAGTCGTTTATACTTGAGAACTATTCTCTTTTCTGCCCTTTAGATCCAAATATGTTTTTCCACATATAGCATCAACAAATTTATTATGAACTAGTTCTCAAATATACATGGCAACAAACACAATATCGTATACTTGAAGACTATATAAGGAAAACCCAATGTTATAATTTATAAATGATTATTTATAGATTTTACTTCAAGAATAAATACAAGTATGAATTAAGTGTTGTTTTTAGTGAAGTTCAAAACAAAAGTAAACTCTATAATTGATCATTTATAACATGCATGTTTTCATACTTAGTTTTTAATTTTTAAATATTACACATGTGGTCCTTCTTTTTTGGATACATTTCCACGAATAGTTTTTTGAACTACTATCATGTTGGTATTAAATTGTGAGCTAAAAGTATTGATGGGAACCAAGCCCATTATGAGTGACTTGGGCCTGAGATAGGTATAAAGCCCAAGTTAGAATCCGTACATTATAAGAAAGATCCGGTCCAAAGATAATGTAGTGGGCCAGTGAGAGGATCTGTCCAAGAAGCAAGCTAGGGAAAAAAATAAGGTTGGGGACCTAAGATATGGGCTGGATCTCAGCCCATTAAGGTCGGGTCACCCGGAGGAAGAGAACCCTACAAATAAATTAGGGTAAGCCGCCCTCTTGATGGAGAGACATATGATTGGACAGAGTAGACAAGGAATAGTGGTCAAACGGACATATGTGTCCTTAGGTGGATGGCCTTAAGCCCAGAAATATATATTTCTGGGAAAGAGGAGGATTACCTGGATAATTTTCCAACCACCACGAATACATAGATAAGATGGTAGCTGGGAAAGCTCCTATAAAAGGAGAAAGAATTTAGAGAGGAAAGATAACTTGTAACAGAGAGAGACTTGAGTAATAAAAGAATATTCCGATTCAAAGGTGGACCAAATAGAGAAAGGGCCTTCCGGTTTGAGTTCATATATTGGGTCCACTGCATTTATTTACCATCCATTACTCTTTTCTTTTTACTTTTTCTTACTATTATAAGGCCCGAATACTAATATTTGGATTTGGGCCGATCAACAATCCTAGGGGAAAATATTAGGCATCCATCAAGTATAATTTTACAATGATCATGTATATTTATTTTCATAGCAAATTTCAGAGGCCGCTGCTGATGCTTTTGTCAAGCAGAGAAGCTATCTACTGCAACTATAGCCCACAGATGTCATTGCTTGTCAAAATCCTAGTATGTAATTATAGCCATTATCGTTGTAATGTCCGTCAAACCGACATTAGAATACGTCACTCGATATGGGTTTGATGCAAAATTACACTTTCAGCCTCTAATTCAACACTAACATAACAGATGGTCAAAAAGGACAGTCCGTGAAAAGGTACTTATAAAAAGATCACAAATGTAATATTTAATAATATAAAATAATATAAAATAATATAAAAGATCTCTTGTTATAAGGTCAATTATAAAATATACTCTTAAAATAATTAATGATAAGCACACAATTTAGCACTAATTAATATTACGGAGTAATATTTTTCCAAAGTGAAAATGGAAAAGAATGTCTCAATATATATAACCTTCCCTCTCTTCTTACAAAATCTGGATAATCTCCATTAAACTTCCTGTCCATACTCCTATCCAACACCTTTCATTGTGATGTCCTCAATCACAAATCATATGCTCCCTCCGTCCTAAAACATTCTTCCCGTTTCTATTTACGAAGTTTGACCGATTTGATTTTCAATTCAATTTATTTGATTGTAGGTGTAAAATTAAAAAATAAAATTTGTATATTTAAAGACTACATCAAAAGTTTTACAAAACAAAATGATGACAAGACTATATTATTTTATCAACTAACTAAAATAGGTAAAGAAAGTCATTAAAATTTGACCGTTTAAATAGTTACTGAGAAGAACGTTTTAGGACGGAGAGAGTAATTTTTTCAACTTGCACCATCCATGGTTACAAGTATTATGATATACTTTCTCCGTTCCAATTTATAGTGCTTGTTCACTATTCACAGAGTCAGACTTCATTCACTTTTTTTCTCTATTTTCGTTAGCAATTTGATAAAATAAAATACTATTGTCACTACTAGTTTTGTAGATCTTTTGATGTAGTATTTTACGGAGTAATATGTAATTTTTATTATTTAACTTTATACCATTTGTCATATAAAATGATTTGAAAATAATTTCAATTAAATATCGTAAACCAAAACAGACACTATAAATTAGGACGGAGGGAGTAGTATCTAACAAAAATGACGTCTTGTCGCGTTCAATTCGTCAAAACTAAGGGTATGTTTGGTTGGAGGTAAGATAAGTTTTATTAGGTAGGTAATTGAAAGTAGGTAGAGTAAGGTAATGAATTGAAAAATTGTGTTTGGAAATTTATTAGGTAATGTGAGGTGATGGGTGTAATCCACCCAGGCCATGACCTGGGTCGGGCCCATCCAAAACCACCCAAGAAAGGTCCAGGTACTATGCAGCAGGGTTGTTTGGGTGGATATGTACCTTACCCGAGTGTGTTTCAGCCAACACCACCCGGGAAAAGTCCAGGTACCATGCAGCAGGATTGTTTGGGTGGATCTGTACCTTACCCGGGTGGGTTTCCAACCTAGACCACCCAGCCAAAGTCCAGGTACCATGCAGCAGGGTTGTTTGGATGGATCTGTATCTTACCCAAGTGGGTTTCAACCAAGACCACCCGGGTAAACTCCAGGTACCATGCAGCAGGGTTGTTTAGGTGGATCTGTACCTTACTCGGGTGGGTTTGAACCAGTGGCGGAGCTAGTAAGGAGCAAATGACTGCAAGTGCAGTCACTGAAATTTTTCCCCAATTCCAAAACGACGTCGTTTTGGTGTTTTACAAAAAAAAATCTGTCCTGTCCATTACAGCTAGAGGCAGTCAGGCTATAGCACTTTCTGATCTCTTTTCCACCCGTGAGGCCCATCCCATTTCCAAATCCCACTCAATTACCTCCACTCAATTCTTCAATCTACTCCCAATTTCCCACTCCATTTTCAATTCTTTAAATCTTTCTTCATATTGTGCGAAGTGCAGAGAGGGAGACGGAGACGGGAGACCAAGCGATAAATTTGATTACAGGAACCGCCCGGCGACGAAGTGCGGCATGGGTGACGATTCCGACGAATGCAATGGTGCAGAAATAGCCGATCTGTAACTTAATCTTTTTATCAAGTTTTTTCACTAATTTTTTAAATCAGCAATTGTTTACCATTTAACCTACTCCGTATTTTTTATTGTGGTTTTCTTCAAATTAGCAAATTAATCTTATTTTCCTCAAGTCTGTTATATGCAATTCATTTTCATCTTCTTTATTGGTTTTCATCTTCTTTATTGGTTTTCGCCCCCACTCTATGAATTTTCTGGCTCCGCCCCTGGTTTGAACCAAGACCACAGATGACTATTAGACACCCGGTCAACTAGCATTACACTACATGGGGATCCTCGAGTGATCAGACGTTCCTTCAAGAAACTACCCGGGCAAGTTTTCGGGACTCGTACTGGGTGGCCAGTTTGGGTGTACATGTGTCGGCAAGAATAATCCAAGCATGGTTGGACGATAGCGACTGAAGATCGTGGTGAATATTCAAATATTCTTGTCCAAGCACTACGCGTCAAGAGAGGTGCCATCAGCACAATCCGACAAATGAGTGGGACAAACGCTAAGTGACAAGAGAAGTCACCTCGCACCGTCCAGGAACGTGGGACGACGTGGGCATTCTTTGTCTTGTCCCCTAGCTAGGCTCTACTATAAATAGCCTTGTAACCCTCAATAGAAAGGATCCGAACTTCCACGCCACTTCACCTTCTTCCTCCTCGTCAAAGAACTTCATCAACAATGGCTTTATTTGGAAGTCTATACAAAAAAAACAAGAAAAATGCTAGGGGTACACCCGTGTACCCCATTTGTCCCCCACCCCCTCCATAACCACAAAAAAAGGCAAGAGACTAAAAAAAATTTTATAAATAAAAATAAAATGAAATTGAGTGGTAGAGAGAGGGGTGGCGGACAAATGGGGTACACCAGGGTACACCTAGCATTGCTCAAAAAACCATTAACAATGGCTTTGGAAGCCTCTTCTTGTGCATGCAATATCCCTCTCCTTCAGGTTTTCATTTTTAAAAAACAAAAAATAAGGCACCGCACAAGTTTGGTCACGTGACCTCATCAGAGCAAAACTTCAAAGTGAACACACAATCTGACGTTGAGCCCCACAACTTGCCCCCTCTATGTCTTCCACTCCTTGGTCATACATACCTTATTACACGGCCTCGTTTGACACAATATTATTTTAAATTAGTGTTAGCCGTTTAGATTACTCTCTTCGTCCCAAAATAATACTTCCTCCGTCCCCAATTTGATTACAAATTGCGGATTACGGAGTAAAATTTCTTAATTTTTGAAATCATTTTATTTACAAATTGATATTCAATAAGATATAAAAATTACATATTAAAAAACTATGTCAAAAGTTCTACAAAACAAAAAGTGATAAGAATATTTTATTTTATCAAATACTTAATGAAATCGCGTAAACAAACAAAAGTTATCGAGAGGAGAGAGAAAAAAAATTGTAATCTATTTAGGGACGGAGGGAGCATTAGTATTTGATATTTTTTTGTCAAATTGTGACAACAAATTACACAAGAAAAATATATTCAATCGGGAAGTAAATTTAATGTACATAGTAATTAGATTCATTTTCAGATGTACTTTTAATACATCAAATATTTATAACATTTTCATATGTCCTCCGTATAATTTAATGGTCAAAGTGTCACATTAATGACCATCAAATCAGGAAAAATATGTATATATACTCCGTATATAGGAGTTTTTTTTTTTGAAATACACCATTCCTTCCAACTCCGACTTTGTCTAGGGAGACTGAAAAAGCAAAGTAAATAAATTTTTTTATAAATAAAAAATACCAAATCATAAGAATGAGATGATCGCAAGGACCCTCTCCTGTTTACTCCACACTTGTGGCTCATCAAGATTGGATATAAGTTAATAATAATAGATATATCTACATATACTACCTATATTTTTTTCCTTTTGGAAATCTGAATTCCAACAAAGGCATGCAAGAATGGGGCATGTCAGCAGAGTGTCCCTCAGCTGCTGCAGATCTCTGCATTGCAAAATTTTGAATGCAAAATTCAAGTCACTGACAATACTAGTTACAAATTCCAAGAGTGCAAGGTTGATAAGAGTTGTGCTATGAAGTCCCCGGGCCAAGTGTGCCCAAACACCGCTCGCTCCTACTTTGCACAGACACGAGCTCGCCAACAAAGAGTGTATCTTTGTGTGTTGGGAAGGTTCCTTTGCAGTGAGAATAATCTCCGCTATGTCAAGGAACCAACTCTACCAAAAGCTCAAATTTGTGGTTACACGTCCCCTCACGTGCAGGCAAGATTTTTTTTTTTTTTGCTCGAGCCTTGCACGTGAGCGTTGAGTTTTGAAGTCGTGACTTTTTGGTCAATAAGGCTCAGATACCATGTCAAGGAACCGATTCAACCAAAAGCTCAAGTTTTGGTTGTGGCCAAGGAAAGGTTTTTATTTGGGGACACATATGGAAGCCATTTAACCTTTTTGATTGCCTCCAAATGTGTCTCCTACTCTTGTCGGTAGCCCATGTCGATGTGCAATGTCATGTATATGTGAAGCAAAAAAGAGGGGGAGAGGATTGGGAGCACACTTGAGGGACTGTGGAACCACAACTCACTCATTAACACAAACCATACTTTACTAACCTTGAGAAAGCGACTGCTCTGGGGAATTTATGCTGCAGGTTCAAAAAAATAAAACTAAATGGTAAATACTCATTCACCGGGCATCATTTCTTTATCATTAGCATCTGATTCCCAGTCATAAATTTCATCGAAAGAATGGTCTTTGCTACTGTTCTCAAGTTCCAATTCCATCTTCAGTTTGGACAATTCAGCACCCGGATCAACCGACTTAGTTCTCAGGATTTTTTGGGACACGTAACTGTCTTCACGTCCAAAGCTGACCGCGTCGTTGGTGTGACGGATAGCCATAGAAAGACTCTTTCTCAGATTCCCCCTCAGTGATCTTTCGTTTTGCAGAGCTGCTCCAGGGGTGGCGGGTTCGGCATTTTGTTTGTAAGATCGGGGAGTAGTGGGTTCTGACATCATTTTTAATGGCTTCTCTCCCCTTCTACTCGGAGTTTCAACTTCCAGAGAGGGTCTACAAATGGATTCGAATTCTTCTTTCATCTTTCCAAGACTATCAAATAATTCTTTCACGTTCTCGTAATCCTTCCTGGATAAAAAGAGTGATCATTTTTTTGTCAAACTTTAAAGATAAAAAAATATGCATGAGTGCAGGATCATAGTCACACTCGATTTTTATAATACTCGCACCTTCTAAAATTACTTCGGATGCTTATTAAGAAGTTACAATAGTACGTTTCTGCTTTGTTTTAAAATGAGAGAAACAATAACCAAAAAACTCCTCTTAGAATGAAATGAAAAGGAAATTTTAAAGCAACACAAAACGGAAAACAAGAACTCAAGGAGTATTAATCTTGCAATGAGACATAACCATAACAACTACCTTAACTCATGGTCCAATGATGCTATTCCTTAAAAATTAACTATACCCATGATAATAACGGTTTTGGGATTTAATCACGTCATTCATTCATTCTCCAGAAGGTTGCCATGAAATTACCTCGAAACTCCTTCAGCTTGCGCATAGAATTGACTTTTTATACTTTCCACAACGCTGAATGCAGTTATTAACTGCAATGTTTCGTGCGAGGGGAGAAAGGTGAGTCAACGATAAAAGGAATAACAAACAGAGCAGTTGAAAGGTGCACAAGTCTATGCACTACAGTGCATACGATCATACCTTGGTTTCTGCCTTCAAGTATTCCTCCTCTAGCCGCCGTCTTGCATCAACAGCACTCTTATTCTCACCATTTGGAGCAGCAACGGAGACCTCCGACCTGGTTATCTTAACTTAGAAACAAAAGTTCTCCTCAATTACAATAATCTTAGAAGACAGTGATGAGAATTACGCTATCATGTTCTCTGCAAGTTTCTTGACATTTGAAATTGAAGGCTCTAATTCGTCCTGATAAATTCCAAGGATAAAACCACACAGATCCACATGATATATATAAAATTAGACATTAGTATATAGATCATGAAAAGAATAAAAACTTGGGTGTTGTTTTGTAAGAAAAAAAGAAATTTCTAATTCGCTTAGATGCTTGTGATTACATTGTAGTACATGTTATTGCAGTCTACCAAACAACACCTTAGTTCTAAAAGAAACAATTAATACCTTGTATGCAGATAAGACACGGATCACTAAATCCCCAAAATAGCTTTCACATCTCTCCAATTCATCACTTAAAAACATAAAACAGACATTAATGATTTTACATGATCTTACATAATCCAAGGGAAAACTGTATGCAATGTTAAAGATACAGTGGGGTTCCCAGGTTCTAAACATCCATGCATTTTTTAACAGATGTTGTCAAAGCTACAGTCAAAAGAAGAAGAAAAACTATTAAACCAATATCCAGATGAACACTAAGAACAGCCACATACTTGACATGCTTCTCTTTTTGTTTAATATATGATGACTCAAATCCTCGGGTGTCTTCTAAGAAGTAAATAAACGCATCACAAACATCTGCTTCGGCTCTGTATGAAACAATAGATCTAGAAAACTCCTCCTCCTTGAATTATTTATCAACATGAATGAAAATGTTAGAATTTAGAATTTGATTAAATTAGAGATAAGAATGCATCATACAATAAAATACCTTCATTTGGATGTGTTGAAGAATTTCGTTGCTAGCTTCATTAAACTGATCTCTTTCCTCCCTGGCATTGCGAAGATGGGCATATGCAGAAGTCAAGGTGGAATTGACCTACAGGCACGCATCAGACAAAAAAAATTATTCATTCAATCTGATGTGGCATGCTCATACTTAAAAATGAGAGAAGAAAAAGTACTTTTTGCAACTCTGCTTCAAGTTCATCTTTTTGCTTCTCAAGTTCATGAATTTTGGCTGTTAACACCTTTGAAAAAAACAATCGTAGTTAAGGATCCTGAACACCATCTCCATATATAGAAATAAAACATTCCCTAGAAGATGCCAATTGGAGACTACTCCATTCCTTAAAGGTTTGCATAGTTTGAATTCCTATTAGACAAGACTTTGACCATCGATATTTACATACATAAATACATACTAGATCCACTCCTCATTTGGCTATATATGTGTGTGTGTATATGTATGTGTGTGTGTGTGAAAATATATATAGACAATATAGTACTCCCTCCGTCTCACTATCTTTGTCCCACATTTGGTCATATTTGTGTGGTCCACATTCATTCTTACTTTATCTTAGTTTTGAACATCGATATCAACCACAAAATCCTATTTTCCATCATTTCCGTGTCACTCCCTCATGTCCCAAAAATAGTGAAACAGAGGGAGTAGATATACTTTAAAATTATATTTCAAAAAAAAATCTAATGATATTAAGTTCATGCAAATAATGATCAAAGTTTGCGAAGCTTGACCTAAAAATTCAAATTGTGCGAAGTATTTAGGAACACAGGGAGTACTTGAGAAGAATAGAATGCAACTGTTTACTAGAGTATCTAGATTGATGCATAACTTTCCTAAGGAACACCACCTTTTCAACCTGGGAGAATTCATTCGCTTTTGTGATGCGGAAGTTAAGAGCTCCTTCTTTCTGAAGTCTAGGTTGAGAAAATGCATTAGAAGTTCAGAGAATACCACAAATACGAGAAAATATCTCAATTACAAAAACCATGAAATAAATGTCACGCATGAATATCTCAATTGTGTTACGTTTAAAACAGACTGGAAGACAGTCCCATTAATGTTAAATGACTCTCCAAACTATCAGTTTAGCAAGCCCGGAAACCTGAATGCCACTTGCAGATATAGAAGTCCCGAATTCCAGGGGTGCATCATATTACACATGGAAACACTCTCCTATTCATTCGGTTATGTGAGAGCACAATCTTTTGCCTCAAATTGTAACAGCTATGAGCAATACCGAGTAGCAGAAACTTCATTTGAACTAATTTTAAGAAGACACGAAATGCTTTGTGTACAGTTCACTCATATCTTCAACATAGTTGTCACGGTGCCAAGGCGAGGCGCAGTGTACCGCCATAATGCCTAGGCGACAAGTAAAAAATGAGAATGGGTATACATTAGTAACACTAGTATTAAATATATCACATTATATATTGTAGTGAATACAGTTTAAATTTCGACAGTTCTGCCTTAAGTGCTTTCGAAATCCATCAAATACACAATAACAACAACAACATTACCCAGTGCCTCAAAGGCTCCCACCCATTGCAGGGTAAGGGAGGATCAAATGTACGCAGACTAGCCCCTATGTTTAAAACATAGAGCGGCTGTTTCCAAATGACCCATGATGAACGTCGAAAGTTGCATTGACTAACTGCTACTTCACTATTGAAAAAAGAGCTGAAAGTTTAAAGAGCCATTTTGCTTTATTTCATCATATCCCAAAGCCAAAAATAGTGAATCTTTGGCTCTATCGGAAATGATGGAATGAAATCTATCAAATACACATTTAAAAAAATTAAACGCGCCAAAATATGGGGAAAAAACACTTATAATTTATAGTTGAAATGAAATACGAAAAAAAGCACTTACTTGGAAAAAGAGTATTGTTTTTTATAAAAATCAAATTGAGAAGTACTGTAATTGAGAACAAGATTATAAATAAATTACTCGATAGCTATAAAGCATTTTACTTTCAAATAAATAAATAAATAAAGCATTTTCAAAAACTAAAAAAGATAATTACTCCGTATAACACACTGGCTATCGAGGGCGAGAGAGTTTAAATCGACTCAGGAATTAAACTAATTACAGAAAGAAGATATGTGAGAGACAGAGTCGCCGATGACCCCTTCCGGAAACGGTAAGAGAGGAGTGGAGTAGAGGAGTAGTCGATGCCTAAGTTAGGATTTTTAATTTAAGTCTATTTGGGTTTGCGACTTGTGATGTACTCCTAATTGATTGAAAGAAAAACATTGCCTCCCAAAATCATGGCATCTAGTCATCCGCACTTCAGCGCCAGGACGCCAAGTCGTCCGCCAAACGACACCTAGGCGAGGAAGGCATGATTAGGCGAGTCGATCCTCGATGGCGAGAAGAGTAGGGCGCCAGGACACCTAGGCGACGACTAGGCGACGCCGTGACAACTATGATCTTCAATCACGGCTTGGTTAAAATTTGTGGACCATTTTTCACTACTTGTTTTTAAAACCGAATTCAATTTAAGGTCACTAAATTTGTGACATAAACATGCTGTAAAAGAACCATAGGTTCGTGACATAAACATGCTGTAAAAGAACCGAACATGAAAGGTTAGCTCGGATAGATGAAAGAAACATAGCAACAAACCTGCTCTCAGAAATACGTTTTTCTGCTTTTGAAGCAGAGCATGAAAGGGACTCCGACAAAACCTTTAACTTATCAACCTACATGTAAATAAAACAGACCAGTGAAGACTTAAAAGAATGTAAGAGATTTAAAACAATCTAGTCTAGAATAGTTAGAAGACTAGCTCTATATGTATCACATCCTGATTTGGTGAATATGATCACCTTTATAGTTCAAAACATACCCATAATAAAGACTCCAGATTTAATCATTAACTATAGTCGTAATCCACTTTTAGTACCCAAACATCAATTTGGAGGAAAAAGCAAAATATGTTACATTACAATAGTTAATTCCACCAAACTAAATATCCATTACAATTTACAAATATGTTAAAGAAAGAACCCGTTTGGTCAGATGTACAATTGTTGGGAGACCACTTCTGCCTTTCAAACTTGGGGAACATTATTATCCCATGTTTGTTCTAGTATTAGGCCCCCAAATATAAGAAAGGACCCAAATGGTATTTTTATAATGGTTAATAAACCCTAACTGAGGATCGGATTTGTTTATATTGATAGTTGGATCATAAAAGTGGAATAGCACGCAAGGGATTAGAAATCAAAATACATCAAGTACGGAATAATAATTACTAGATACAAGTAGTAGAGTTTTTGCAAAACATTCTTTCCCAAAGAAAAGTTAATATTTAGATGCCAAACCTTTTGAAACTGGTTTCCTGATACGTTTCTATTAAGTAAAATCTTCTCTTGTAGCAAAAGTGATTCCAATTTGGAAAATAATTGGATCTGAGCAAGTTCTTCTTTCAAAGCCTGCCATACAAAGATCGGGTTTTGAACAATCTTTAAAGCTGCCAGATGATTTTTAAAAAAATCAAGTACCATCATCAAAGTAGAATGTAAATTACTTAGGTCTTGCGCTAATAATGAATTAACATAATATATTTCTTCATCTCGGCACTGATAAATTTCAGAACAAGATTCAAAATAGGTATCCTCACAATGCTAGGCAGTTTTTATGTATTATTTCTTATTCAGAAGGTATGTTTATGATAAAGCACTATTATATCATCTAAAAATAACTGGCCTCTGTTATCTCTGTAGAAGATCCTGATGATCTATCAACTTCCTTTGAAGGTGGCCAGCATTGCATTTTGTGGAGGTCCTGCTGTATGTTGGAAACTTCAGAGTCTATTCTGAGCGCAGACCATGAAACAGTTAAGATTTAAAAAATTATGATAATAGTTTTGCATTAGTACCAAAGAAAATAACAAAGGATAACTACCCATGCTAATAGGTATACATTTACTCCCCAAATACACAAATTCCATAGCACCTGAATCACAAAATAGTAAGATCATGTCTCTAACAACCTTGCTATGTCAGCATTTACTTTTAACCCAGCAATTGCATTTTGTGCGAACAGAAGAAGATCTTCCTTCTTTGCCTAGAATAATGGAGAGAGCTGATCAAATTACTTGACTTCCTTATATCTTCAGGACAAAGCAATTGATCACAAATTACGACAATACTAAAGGGGTTGTTTGGGTGAGCGATTTAAAATAGAGCTTTGTGGTTTGAAAATGTTGTGTTTTCAAATAGTGTTGGTTTGAAAACTTTGTAGTTTCAACCAATGTTTTTTATTGAATAGTTCGGCTGTTTAATATTTTTCAAGTGTTTGAGAAACTAAATTTGAATATGTATTTCGTGTCAAATGATTTTAGAATGAAAAAAGAGCTTGTAAGTGGTTATTCTCATACATAAATAACAAAACGCTCAAATCAAGAAGATGCAATTTGCAGTTCTTTATTTTAGCAATTTATAAGTGCTTTAAGCTTTTCAAACACATTCAAAACACTCAGCCAAATTCTTAAAGCCGCGGTGTTCTACATTAAACATCCAAATGCACCAAGTAAAACATCATCTTTGAAGTTTAATTTCGTATTCTGTTACCAGTAATTCATCACTATAGTTTGAGAAAGCTTTAGCCAAAGCTTCTATGCTAGTAATTGTTGCATCACAAACTTCTTTGCCACCTGTAAGACAAAGTCTGTACATCCAAGAGAAAAAGACCAAAGTAAGAGTACAATATAGCTTGTGATTTTTGAAGTAAGAGCACAATATAGCTTGGGAAGTAACTCTGTTATAGTATTATAGCTAATATGTCAGATTTGTTCACCCAAGACCCTTGATGCATACTCTGTACAAGAGAGCATTTAAAACTAAATAGATGAACAAAAAAGAGTTACCCAAATATCTCTGTAAGTAACGAAACTTCTTCTTCATCTGGTGCTTCAAGAATCTAAATCAAATGAAACATTTAACCAGCAATTACCTCAGATGCAGAGAAAGAAAAATCAAATCATATGTGGAGGTCAAGAAATTAAAATTTTGTTCAATGTTCTAGCCAACTACTGCACCTAAATGAATATAAATAAGCTAAATATAAAGCATGTGAGAAAAGGAGATAAAATATGTTCCTACATGCAAGTTTCATTTTCATGGATGCATACACAAGTTAATGATATCCTTGTGAATGGGCCAGACTTGAGATTTCAATTGAGAGAGATTTGGATCCTCATTTCTTCTGTTGTCCTCTCACATACTCTGTATTATTTCCTAAGCTGGTCCCTAATTATACTAAAACATTTGATAAATGTAAACAGAATAAACTACCAAAACAAAACAAAGATAAGACCTTTATTTCCACCAGCAAGAGTAACTAACAAAAGTAGCTCAGTCTATTAGGTCTCCAACGAAGGATTACAATATGGGAAAGGGCTGCTAGTGCCCACTAGCCAGGTTAAAAGATGATCAACTGGTAAAGCTCTGAAATTTGTTTTGCCTACCACTGACAAGACGATTCCTTCTAGAGCTTGACTGCGAAGAAAGACATCTTTGAAATTCATTGGTTCCCCGCCAAGATCAGGATCATAATATAAAACCTGTTTGTGGGATGTTAAGAGGATACAGGGTATGAACTCTTTGAAGTCAAAGAATGTCACTAAATTAAGAAGAGAAAAACGGAAGGCCATTACCTGAGGTACAACTAGGCTTTGTCAAGCAAACAAAGCAGAGGACAAATTATCAAGCCAAGCAAAAGGGGTGGATGTAACATATTTTATACTAAAGATGAAAAAGAAAAAGAGACTGCTCAGTGCCTTGTCATGACTGAATAACTTTTATTCATCTTCTTCTTCTTCTTCATCTCCTTGTCAATTATACTTTAATCTAAGTTTTTAAATACATTACGTTACATTGACTATTTAGGTTATGGGAATAGTTAAGGATGAAATGACCTTTTAAGGTTTCACATGATGTTAACCACTTCATTGAAATATAATGATATACTCCCTCCATCCCTATTTAACCTCCCACTTTGACCAACACATATTTTAAGGAAATGATTGATAAATGAAAAGTTTGTGGCTTGAATTTATTTAGAAGAAAGAAAATTGTTTTAAACCACATGCTCTTTTCCTTAAAAAGAAGTGGGAGATTATTTTGGGACGGATGAAAAAGAAAAGCTCGAAGTCTATTTAGGGACGGAGGGACAAATTTTGGTTAGTGAGGTTTTCAAAGGCAACAGTTCTAATGATGAGTGTAACACATACGACATATTTATCAAATCTTACGACATGCATCATAAGTTTAGAAAATAACTGCACAGCGCCAAAGTAAATGTAGTGCACTATCAAAGTATCATGGCTAGCACCAACACTAGCAACATGAACAAATTTTGTGTGTGATGCTACATAGCAATAAAAGTAACACAAGAAACACAGCACGCGAGTACAAGATCAATTGCTCACCATAGTAGGCTCTCTGTGAACATCCTTTTTTGCGATGGAAATGTCTACAAGGTCATTGTTTTTCCCTGCTTCTAATTTAGCTCCATGTAGTCTCTCAATCTCTTTTAGAGCAACTAACCACCTACGTAGTTGCTGAAGTCTCTCTATGCCTCTACAAGAAACAGACTGTTCCTCTAATCTTTTCAAAGCATGCTTAAAGCTCTTGAAGTTCCCAGGTCCCTAAAATAGAGAAGTGTTTAGTAGCTAAACACCAAACAATATGTAAAATAAACTACAGAAATGACTACTAAATACTAATCCTACTACTGTTGCAACAGCAATGTACTATGTAATTTGTAGTTCAGGCTTCGCATTTTAAATTGCCAATCTCTTAACCTCACATTTCCCCTATTACAACTTCTGATTTGGGCAGGTTTTACTTCACATGACTCCAGCTGTTCATTATTTCTCCAGAAAACCCATATTTCTTCTTTTAACATTGATGTGTTTTTTGTCATTTACTCTGCACGTCCCAAAAAGAACTTCCCAAGTGAAAATGGCATGGTTTTTAAGAATAGGCTGAAAATTTGTCCTCCCTCCGTCTCAAAAGAAGCTTATCACTTCCTTTTTAGGGGGTCCCAAAATAAACTTCTCATTTTTAAGTATAGAATTTTATGTATTGTTTTGTTTCTTTAGTTTTAGAAAAATCTCACCGCACAATTCTGTTTTCTTAATTTTCATGCAAAAAGTAAATGAAAGTTTTGATTGAGCCAAAATGGATGGAATAAAGCAAAATGGATCTCTAAATTGTCTGCATTTCTTTAATTAATGAAGTAGGAGTTACTAAATCAATGCAACATTCAACGCTGAGCCGGAGGTCTCTTTGGGAACAGCCTCTCTACTATCTAGTAGGGGTAAGGTCTACGTACACACACCCTTCCCAGACCCTACTCTTGTGGGATTCAACTGGGTTGTTGTTGTTGTTGCTGTATTTTCGGACAGAGAGAATGCTAATTGAGAAAATGACTCTTTGACAAGATGTGGAGTGGAGAATAATGTGGTAACAGGTTTTTCACTAGTTTGGGATTTCTAAAAAAGTGATAGAAAGATGATTTTGGAAAAACCTAAAATGGTAAATGGGAAGATATTTTGGGACAATGAGAGTCATAACAACCACGAAGGCGCATTACCTTAGAAGTGATTCAAGATTTCATGACTGAAACTTGGACAGTTGGACAAGCTATTGCCAAATTCGTTCCCAGTAAGCACTTGAGACCAGAATATTGTTTTAATTATTATTTTAACAGAGAAACAGGTGAGTTTCTGGTTAGTTCCTCTGAACCTCCATTAATCAATTCAGAATAAGTCAATCCATATTAGATTGTTAGTAAAATTATGAATATCAGACATCTGAACCTTCTATCTGTAAACTAAAGCATATACAAATGAAAGAGCTTTTCTGAGAGCAAAACAATAATGATATTTCAAATATTCACGCAGCAATTATCGTATCGGCTACAGCAAAAGACGGTGAGAGAGAGAATTACAGATCGATCGCGAGTTTTCGTAGCGTCGTCGAAGCCGGCGTAACCGGCATGCTGGACGACGGATCCGGCATAACTGCGAAGGTTGCGGGTGATATTTCCGTTGCCGCCTACTTCCACGGCTTTGCTCACCGCCGATCGCAGCCATGACATCGCAGATCAACCTTCTCCGTGCCTTGCCTGGAAGAGTCAAAATTGCGCATCGGATACAACTGGAAAAAGATTGAAATTTTGCATAACGGACATATTGGTGAGAAGTAGAGGCCAGAAAGCCCCCCATTGGCACTGCGAGTTTCATGCCTGTGGTTTCGCGCGCCCTTACCATTTTATGCCCGGACTATTTTTTTTTTTTTTTTTTTTATGCCCGGACTAATTTGAGTTAGTAGAAGGCACCTTAGGGCTTAGCTTAATCACTATCGAATAGATCCCTACATTTGAATATTGAAAATTGAATTGAAAAATATAGAACCAAACAAAACACTGCAAAGAAAACTAAATGGAATGGTTGGTTTGATATTTAGAAACGGTACGAGATAACTTCTCATTTCGAATATATATTGCTAAGTACATAAAATGTTTAAATATATAATACCTTTTTTTATAGTTCTTTATTTAATAATAAGTTTATTTTGAAAAATATGTTGGGGAACTGATGTAAACACGTATCAATTCTCGGACACTGATAGGAATATAGAAAAACTTGGAACTATTTGTGTCATTTATTGTATCTCGAGATATTTATGTAAACTCGTACAATCCTGAGAGTATTGATGTAACTCCCTTGGAAAATTGGTTAAAATTTTATTATTTGTAAATTTAAATTTTATTTGAGTTTTATTTTTTTTGTAGATGAATTTAAAAATATTAATATTTATTTAAAATAATATTTTGTTGTAATTTGTACTTTTTTGTTTGTGAAACATAAAGTAAGTTTCGCGAGTACTTTTTGCATTTAATTACTCATTCTTTTTTACATTTTAAAAATGAGATTAGGTATGTATGTATTCATCGGGATTGTTATCAAATCTGACACCGAACCATCCCAAACTATATCAAATCAATATTTCGTGATCGAGACTGGTACAATGTAAAATTCATACCGAATTAAAATATTTGATATAATATTTAAGAAGCTAAATACCGTGCATATTAGAGCATGTTCATCCCTAGTATACCTACTATTGTCTTCCTAATATAACTAGTTGGACCACAATATATTCATAGTTAGATCTCTTTCATTTATCAAATCCCAATATGTGTGTGTGTGTGTATGTATGTATGTATGGATTGGTTCAAGTGAGCATAGTTTTACTGCGAGAATAGACCTTATCGTGAGAATAGTACATTTCTATGCCGTCACGATATATTTTTACATATTGGTAGTGCATTTTTGCACTGGGAGTAAATTTACCATAATACCACCATATTTTTTCAGTTTTTTTGATTAAATATTTTGGTTAAATATTTATTCCAATTACTCTAAAATATATAACATTATTATCTCTTAAGACAAATTCAATTATACTAAATGTACATATACACACCATAACTAATGTTTTAAAAGTTTGACAAAAAAAAACAAATTTGGATTCTTTGTTCACTCCGACCGAGAAACAAGGGAGCTGACCAAGGGAAATTGGCACCAGTGGGAATCCAAGTTGGATTCTTCTCCCCACATGGAGCGAGGGTCTTTTGAGTTTTGAGCTACCCATTTGGGTTGGAGAATCCTCTCACCTTCACTCACGGGGGAAGGGGGCGGCGTACACCGATGATGTGTCAATGCCACGGAGGATCACTCCTCCTCCTCTCTCTGAGGCATTACAGACAGCCTTATATACAGTACTATATAACATTGAGATGGAAGTAAAAGACACAATGTGCCATTTTAACATTACTAGAAACAGAAAATAGGCAGATACTTCACATCAGAAATAATTTCATGAGTTTTTTAAAAAAAAAGAACTTCAGCACCCAAAAAAATCACACTCCACAAATTAGCACTTGGAAAGAGAGAAATAATCTGCATAACAAGAAGACTTATTAAGTAAACAGAAAATACAATAAGGTCCCTGAGAGGAGACTATATGGAGTTCTAACCCTGCATTATTTTACAGACACACTTGACTGAAAATGGGAGGAAAAAAAAAATGAATGAATACAGAGGGAGAGAGAAAGCTTATTGTTGATGATGGGCTTGTATTCATAAAAATGGGAACAAAGCAAGCCTGTTTCAGAAGAAGAAGAAGAAGAGACAGTACAATACATCATGAATCATTTATGGTCACAAAGAGTTGGTATATTATATATACTGACTGCATCAAGAATGGATCGTGATCTCGAATATTGAACAGAAAACCGGCGACAAATATCAGCCATTGGATCTACACTCGGCAAGTGGAATCTCTCTATAGGCTACAGATTTCCGGCAACGGCATTTTCCAGTAGTTCCACGCATTGTAATCTTCCTGCGAGTTAAAAACTTACCAACCGTCAAAAATGACTCTTTTAGCGATTGAAACTAAATTATGCCCAATTTACAGTTCAATACTTCTTAGTTCAGTTCAGTAAATTTTTGTTCGACAAGAACAGGCCATATATGTATGAAAAGCAAATGATGTGAGAAATCATCACCAGATACGAAATAATTTACCTGCTCAACCATTGATGTTGGTGGAAACATGTCATTCACCAATGTGTGCAACGAAGTGTAAGATTTCACGTCAATTCTGTGATGACTGATCGCCACCTCACCCTGTGAAATACACACATATTTTTTTCAGGTGAAAATGAAACTCATATACCACGAGTTGAAGGACATACTGGTTCACTGAAAGTGTCTTGATACCTTGGGGTTTATTATAAAGATCTTTCCCTTTGGAATCCCGATTTTTCTATAGCTGAGCTCATCGGTGTCCCTATTTCCAAACCCGGCATAGAATGGGTTGTAATCTGGTGGGAAAAGAGCTTTGATATCCTGAATACATTTTGAGCATCAGAATGGTGCGAATTGTTTAAAGAACTAATATATATATATATATATATATATATATATATATATATATATATATATATATATATATATATATATATATATATATATATATATATACACACATACGAATATATACACACACACGCCATAAATAGCAAAGTGAAAATTCGTTGGTGCGTAAATGCCTACCTCTAAACATGCAATCTTGAACTCGTGAGGAGCTCTTCTTATAACTGCAACAACAAAGAAAGGTGATGTCTAATAGTTTCCATTTTAAGCACATACTATGGAAAATCTAATCATTAGATGTGCTTTACCTTCTCTGTACAATGACGGAAATAGACCATCTGGTGAAATAACAACGGGTCCAGTGGGCAAGGTTTTCCCGTCCTACAATCATTGAAATCTATCTCCAGTCAGAAAATTTGTTTTTAATTTCATATTTGCTTTCAGAAAATCAATAGAGGTAACATGAGAGTATGAGACAACAAATCCACTCATATCCAAGTGATGCATTCTATCCGAAATAACCGTGTGCCGGCGGTTCCCATTTTTTCAATCTCTTTAGTGGAAATTAGTTTGGCTATGCTTGGCCAAACGAGTTGATACTTGATAGCTTCTAACTTGCTCACTACATCCTCAAACAAACTTACGGCATGTTTGGGAACTTGAATTCGGATTTCAAATCCGAATTAGGTTCAAATTACATGTTTGGGAATATTCAAAATCTGGATTTGAGGCAAATTCTTCTAATTCATTACAAGGTTCAATTGCAAATCCATGTCTCCGCTTGTCATTTGAAATTCAAGATTTCAAATTTTGGAATTGTAATGCAAAACTTGAAATGAAATGCTAGTTCCCAAACACTACCTTAAGTACTTCACAAAATCCTTTTCGTCTACCCCAAAATTAGACATGTTTACTTCTAAAGAATGCAATACGTGGCTCATATTACTTCTCTCTTATAAATAAGTGTATCTCTTAAACCTCAAACTGGGCACTAGTAAAGAGACAAAGGGAGTGTATCTTATAACTCATAAGTTAGTTAATCTCAATACTAGTCTTTTGAAAATCCAACTAACAAGCTATCTTTGAAAAACAAAATGACATAATAAATGTTAAAATGTTTACTTTGCCTATAAGATGTTAAAGATATAAGTATAAACAAAATGCTTGCAGAGCATATTTTAACAATAATAGAAGCTTATGAAATACTCCCTTCGTCCCAAAATATAGCTCGTGTTCGGTTTACAGTGCTTGACTGAAGTTATTTTCAAATCAATATAAGTAAAAATTGGTGAAGAATTAAAAAATAAAAATTATATATTAAGAAACTGCATCAAAAGTTCTGCAAAACAAGTGGTGACAAAAGCTATTTTATTTTCTAGAAATGATTGATGAAAATGTATAAAGAAAGTAGAGTTAGTTTGACCTGTGAATAGTAACTAAGAGTTTTATTTTGGGACAGAAAAATGGTTTATTGGAAAAAAGGTTTTCTAGACATAAATTACACACAAAAGTTCTTTTGACACTGGAGTTGGGGGTCATAATATGACACCCGGTCCATTTAGACACCCCATGGTGCTCTGTTTGATCCCAAAGTGGTTCTTACAATCGTACCTTCATAATCCACCGCCCCCTTCCCCACAAATTATAATACGAAGTATTATGTTTAGTTTAACCAAAAAAAAGTTCAAGGAAATGACTTCATATTTTTAAAGAACTTGGAAAAAATGTTATGAAGGCAAATAAAGAAAATCCAGGAAACATATTTCAACCAAACTTTTCAATCAATCTAGCAAAGCCTAAGTCATCACATTTCATGAAACCCTCAAGTACTAATACATATAAACCAGAATGCAATAGCCACCCCACCCCGAATGATATGCATACAAAGCAAGACTAGGCACACCTGTTTCAAATTGTGCAGGAAACTTTTGGTGAGATATGCTTGAACAATTGCACGTGCGCTAAGAAAAAGAAGCTGGTAACCATTTTCCTATAGCATACATGGAAACATTTATCAGGAAAATGCACCCATCTCGGGTACTTTATCGCCGAGGAAGAGGACATAAAATATAAAATGTTCAAAATAGGGACGGACGGACGGTTCACCTAAAGAGACCACACATACCTTTATTGCCGAAAAAAGTCTAGCAATTCCAGAATGAGTCCAATCCTTCCCGACCAAAGGCATGAACTGACCAAGAACATCAGACCTGCATGATTTGGTTCCTACTTGTGAGCCATATCATTGCTTCTAAGTTGTCTTATCCCTTGTTTGGTTGCATGATTTTCAAGGGGAGGGAAGAGGAAGGGTGGAATCTATTTAACTAACTTAAATTCTTGCATTTAGATGATTGGAAAAAAAGTAAACCAAATCATACCAAAACAAATTTCTCTACCCTCGGATCCTAAATCCATCACAAGGTTTTTGTTAACATGCGACCAAGGATTGTCCATATACCAATCTTGTTGGAAAAGTAATGGTATGAGTTCAAATGCTTGGTTCAGCGTACTAAACAAACCCAGTAATATGCTTGGGCTCCTAGAAAGACCACTTTCGAGAGTCTATCCAATGGGACAAGCCATCATGTCCACGAAGACATCCTCATCTCTGAAACTTCTGAGTTCTATCCATGTGGCTTATTTATTATCGATCAACACTCGGATCTATGGTTGGTCAAATAGCTACCATATAGAATTTTCCCTTCAATTTCAAAGGGAAATTCATATTGCATAGCACTCCCATTGAAAACCTCCACCTTAACTCTTTAACCACCCTACCTTGACGACGTAGCAAGTGGGTATGACAAATTATTAAGAAATATATTACTCCCTCTGTCTGGAATAAGTTGTCAACTTTCCAAAAATTCTCATTTCTAAGAAGAGTTTAAAATGTAAATTAAGTCCTTCAAATGAGTCTTACTGTTACTCATTCATGTCAACAAGGTCACACACATCACCTCTAGGATATTTTAGATAACTTATCATAATTTCTTTATTGAATATGGAAAATGAACAGCTACTTCCAGACAAATGTTAACAACTAATTCCTACCAAAGGCAGTATATAACTAAAATTACTAAATAACTACACATGTTCTTAACTTCTAGTCTAAAACTTACAAATATAGATAAATTTATAATACAAGTATGAGTTCTCTCCTCCCCTAAAAACTCCCCCAATCGGACAACCACTTTTTATACAATGTCAAAATGTATACAAAGGTAACCTAAGAAGTCTTACTTGGTAATAGTACCATCAACATCAGAAATTACAATTCGTGCATTCCATTTCCACAGGTATATATGAGCTTCAACCTATTTAAGAAATTCAAATAAGCACGCAAAGAATCCAGTAACACAAAGGGTATAAATGTCAAGAATGTGATAGATCAAATACCTTTTGTACCCCTAGGACCCTTGTAGAGAAAATGAAGACCACCATATTCTGCCCCTCTTTCAGATTTAAAGAAGCAATCTGATCAGATGTTGGAACATTTGTTCTCACAAATTGTTTACAAGGACTTGGTTCAGCAGCCTGGTTTTGCAAGCTACTTTCGGTATCAACAAAAACATCCTCAGTTGACACATTGCTACTGGTATGTTCAAGTGTCTTAACCCTTCTGAAGGGAATTGGCCAAAGCCTCCATCGTCTTCCCGAAGGAGATCTCTCAATTCCAGAACCATCTACAACCTCTGGTTTTAGAGCTTCCTCCTGCTCAACAGCAATTACATCTGTACATTCAATAGGCAGTTCCATGTCATAAGCAGACACCCCCAGTACAAACGGAACAGCTTTCTCCCATGACAAGTACTTCCCATGGATCCTCACAACCAAATTTTCATTTTTAATAATTGATTTTGCAGAGTTTTTAAATTCCATTTCAGATATACGATTTGCATCAAATACTTCTGCAGCCAAACCAGACCCCATTCCAGGATGAAGAAGGTTCCCGCAAAGAGAAATCTCGAGTCCTGCACACACACAAAATTATAAGGTGTATTGAGCAAGAAGATAGCCTCCTTGATGTCGAATGAAACAAATACTACATTCATCCAATCATCCCAAAATAGGAGCTATGTCTCACCAATGTACAAATTCTAAATTCTGGTACGGTACACATCAATTAGTCCGTATATGTTTAATTTTCAATTTATTTGTTCAATTAGCTAACTTTAGTGTATTTCACTTATAAGGTACACTTGTCTTTTCTTTTTAATGAAAAGCAATACATCAAATATTAGGAAATTTAGATTCCTTAGTTCAAAAAGGACTCATTTTCTAGGACAAAAGTAGGATTTCAAAGATGACTTATTTAGGGCGGAAGGAGTAGCATTATTATTCAAAATATCTATCAAAACTAATTGTCCATTTACAATATACTTGATGTCAAATAAATGTGAGTGAAAGGGTATTAAATAATCAAGGGTCTGGTCATACTTGTGCTTGGACCAGTGTTAATGTCTTCATCAGCTGAAACTGTTGTCTGTTGCTCCACATTTTCATGTTGAGTACATTCATCAGATAATTGTAGCTCATTTCCTAGTTGTTGTACTTCTTCTTGTGTTCCCTCATCAATATGTTTATGTGAGCCTCCGCCATTTAAAGCAAATCGAACATGTGGCCTGTCAAAATCATTATGATGTAACGTATTCTCCTCCATGATTTTTACTTCAACTTGCAAATCTGACAATAGAGGACTGACACAAAGATCACAGCCATTCTCATTCACAGGTAGTTCAAAAGGGCCATTTTCAGTTCCATTGATTTCTATAGTAGTGGTAAGTGGCACCTCCTCTGAAACTAAATTTGGTTGCTCAGACTCGTTTTCAACCTGCAAGGCGAGTTCTGGTAGTGCCAAACAGCTTCCAAAAATGTCGTCTTTCTTGCTTGGAGAAGGTGAGCCACACTCCATGTTATCTTGAACTTGGTACATATGCCCTCTATCAGCACCGCCCCATTTCACATTTTCAGAGTTAATCTCAGAACTACCTTCACAAAAGTTGGTTTCTTCACCTGGTCCAAGATGGAACTGAGGTGTGCCCAACTCTAAATTCTCGCCAGTCCTTTCGGAAGAAGATATGGGTGCAGTCAATATATGGCCATCCACACTAACCAAAACAACTTCCGAGTTAGAATTTTGAGATTCTAAAACTTGCTCCACTGCTTCTAAATTCTCGTAGAGACTGGATTCGTATCCAGACAAGTCAATTGACCCCTCAAGAGAAGAATCCACATCATCAAACTCGTAAAATCTCCTTCCAGACTCTGTCCTATCCAGCTGGTCCGAACCCAAAGCAACACGTTCTTCTTGAATCTCTAATAAGGGCTTGTTCGGGAGATTATGGTCAGATTCAGAATCAACTCCGTCGGGAAGATTACTTTCTCCATCATGAACACTATTGGAATCTTTCAAACTCTCGGCTGCCTCATTCTTGTTATCCTTACCGGTGTCATCGCCTTCCCTTACAAAGTAGGCCTCGCCGGAATTGTCCAAATACATGTGGAAACCGGCTTCAACACCATTAACTTCTATCCTAACCTCCTTCTCTGCCCCTTTGAGAACACCTTGGAATTTCCCAAACCGGACATACCAAGGGGTACTCCTGAAACTCCCATCCTGCTGTTTGACAGCAATAATGTCAACGGCCCCACCAAACGGATGAAAAGGGGTGGCGACCGAGTACACACCTGCAGTTATAATGCTTCCAACTTTTCCCACCACATTCATCTGCTCCAACCGAGCAAGAAACTAAACACCCACACAAACTCGATTGCCAATGCAATCCTTACCAATTAAAGAATCTAAATCAATCCCTAAACACCCACACTTCGAAATATCCTCCAAGTTCTTATAAGGGGAGATATCTGCACCAAACATAAGTACTAAAATCAAACAAAATAATAATAATAATAATAATAATAATAATAACAACAATTAATTAATAAACCCTCCAAATATACGAAACCCATGGTGGAATTCAACCCAAGAATAAGAAATGGGTAACAATCATTTCAAGAATCATACGAAAGTACACGGCCAAGAACATCAAGATCAGTAAAGACTTACAAATCGATACAGAACTATGTCAACTGCAATGACCAGTGGATTGATTCGATGCACCCCCTTCGGGCCTAAATATCAAAAACCCAATAAAGACAGAAACTTTTCTAATGAAGAAGAATTTTCACTTCAGTATTTCTAACTTCTCTCTCTCTCTGGAAATGAACGGGGACAGGAGCGACGTTTCTTATGCAAAATGTGTACCCAATTTCTTATTGATGCTTGAGGTTGGTTGATGGAGAAATGAACAAAAATGTGGGTTTTTTCGGAAAATGGGTCGGAAATTTTGGGGAATGTGAATGTGTAATGAACAAATTCTGACTTTTTTTGGGGGATGAGAAACGAATAAAGGGACAAAGCATCATAAATTCCTCGGAATTAAATTTGGCAATCCCTTAAATTAGTTAAATGGGGGCTAAATTTTTTGGTTCCCTTCAAAGTGCCCTTCGTTTTGCCGAAGTATAAAGCTGAAAAAAAAAAGAATACTTCTCCCCTCCGAGGTTCCTTTACACCCCTCAAAAAATGTATAAAATCTCTTTTTTCTAAATGATTAAATGATTTTATCAATAAATTAGAATATATATAAAAATTACAAATTATACATTTAAAAACTACATCAAAAATTCTACAAACTAAAATTTGAGAAAAATATTCTATTTTATTCAATTATCAATACTTATCAAAAGACTCAAATTATAAAATTTCAAATTATTTTGAAACGAATAGAATATGAGATGGCTAATCCAAAATTGAAGGAGCTTTTAGAAATTGCAGAATAAACCTGTTTGCAACAGTATTCGAATTAGCAATTAAATAATTATTTAGGAGCACCGGTTAGTTTTAGAATCTCAAAATTAATCTAAACGATTAAAATTTTATTCAAAACCCGAGTGCTAATCGAAAACGATGTTTTTAAACGAGGCCATAATTGTGTTCATCTTTTGAAGGAGTCTCCAACAAGTATATTGCTTTTTTCTTCATCCAACAAATTTAGGAAGTATTTTTTAATAAAATAAATATATAGTTCAAATTTATGTGGAATAGTGGAATACTATTTCTTTTGCCATGGAGCTAGCAATTGTTTCGTGTCCTTTGAGGAAGAAAAAAAACATTTGTTTCGTGTTTTTTTTATTTTGGAAACAACTCCAAAGTTGTACTGTGATGGTTATCCTATAATGGCAAGTGTGATGACTCAAGAACGACGGTGCATTTATTAAACAGTTCTCCTATCCGTAACTCAAGTGATTTATTGTAAAATATTAAAAAGTTTATTTTTATAAAATACCCCGTAAATGTCTAAATCCATATTAGATATTACATAAAACATTTTTCAAGAAAGATAAAAGGTCTTCAAACTAAAAAAAAAATAAAAAATTGTACCCTGTATATAATTTTTTAAGAATAAATCTAGGAATACACAAAAATGGGGTACTCCATTTGTACATCAGGCAAACACAGAAAAATATAGACACTCAGTGTCTGTAAATCACCGACACTAAGTGCATGTGTTTGTCCGGTGTACAAATAGGACCGTTTGTAAATCACCGACACTCAGTGTCTGTAAATCTAGGAATACACAAAAATGGGGTACTCCATTTGTACATCAGGCAAACACAGAAAAATATAGACACTCGTTTTAGTGTATCCTTAGCATGCTTACTAGGACCGTTTGGCCCACCTTGGCCGGCCCTGGTCATTAGTGGTGTAGCTAAATTGTACGGAGTATGATAAACTTAATACTTCATCCATCCCATTTTGATTACAATTCTATTTTCATTTTTTGACAACTTTTGTTTATTTGTGTGTTTTGATATATTTTATTAACATGTAATTTTTATTTCATATGAATGTACCAATTTATAAATAAAAAAGTTCAAAAAACATGAGAATTTACCTCGCAATTCCCATTTTGTAATTAAAATAAGGACGAAGAGAGTATGTGAATTACCTAAAATGGACATCCATATGAAGGTGGTAAGTACGGAAGAATTCATCAAAATGCCCGAAAAGGTTTCGTATTTTGCGAACTACCATGTAAGTGAAAATTGTCTGAAAAATCAAGGCGTTTAATGATGATGGACGTCTTTAAAAATGAAAAAAAGGCCAAGTAACGAATCGTCAGTGGCGTTTTATTTTTAAATTTAAATTAAAAAACAAGGATGGCAAAACAACATTGGATGACAGAAGCGGCTCTAAGGGTGGGCAGGGTCTGACCAGGGCCCATTTTTTAAGATAACCGCACAATATATTGGAATCCCAAACGCCACTGAAGACACTCTTCAAGTGAGAAATTTGGTATTATGTAATGTAAATTCCTCCCCAAAATATCATGTGTCCAAGGTCATGAACGATGGGTCAGGTCGACTAACGTACGAGAACATCCTAACTGAGGCATCGACCCTGGTCGCAATGCTTAAGAATATCACTTATCTAAGGTCATGAATGATGGGTCAGTTCGACTAACGTACAAGATCGACCTAATTGATACCTCAACCCTAGTTGCAATGCTTCAGATATCAAATTTACTCCCTATTAATCTTGTTCACATTTTACACGCTTATATAGATTATGCCAATCAATACAACGGTCGACACTACAAAACTCCCAAATATGAAGCTCACCTTGAAGTTTTGGCTGCTAGACTTCCAAAATATGATGAAAAAAGGGTTATGCGGTCATATGGATATCCTAGAAGAGTTTAGGAGAAATTCTCCCTTTGGTTATTTCCTCGATGTCCATACTTTTCTCCATTCGGCCATGCTATGGCAGTTGATGGTTAGGGAGGATGAGGTCGAAAGAACTGCTCAAATATGGTTTGTAGGAGGAGGAGTTCCCATTAGATACTTTATTATGAAATTTTTATCTGATTACTAGACTAAAGTGTTTAGAATTAGGGCTTAGATACAAAGGCATTGTGTGCCTTTGTTGAAGAGAGTTAGCCAAGTAGTCTAGTTTGTTACACTTATTTAGTCGACAGGTTCTCAAAACTGAATCAGCTACTCAACGAGGAAGCAGAGAAAGAGTATGCCACCGAGTGGATCATGAAGGTGGTACGTAACATTGGTGTTTGTTGTCCTTTTTTATTAATTCGGCCAAGAAAGAAGTGGTAATTTCAGATCGGATCGTAGCCAAAGTTTCAAACTTCGAGGACTCTCTGAATTTTCCATGGGGGCCTGGGTGTTCAGAAGTCTCTTGGTTTCCAATCACTGGGGAAGGACTTGGTGGCACAGAAGCAGACCCAGCAAAAATTGACTCAAAATGTTTTTTGACCCGAGACCCTATCTGAAATATTGGGTTTTGAACAAAGGTTCTGTTGACTGAACCTGAAATTGATCAAACCTGAAATGACCCACTCAAAATGGGTCAAACCCAACCAAACTCGATATGATCGACCCGTTAACGTAATATTTTTTCAATCATGTACTTAATATGAAAAATAATGTATTAAAAATAAAGTCATGTTTTTATTTTTTTTCTTATTACTCAGTCTAGTGTATAAACTTATATTTTTAAATAAGTTTTTAATGATATCACATAGTTATCATACATTTTTTTAAAACTGGTATATAGCTTCTTTTCATATAATTTATAATTTTGTTAAGTATATCTTAAAAGTAATTAAAAATTCAAAATAAAATACTCCAATAGACTTAATATATGTATTTTGATATTTCATTATTTTTTTAGTACAAAATGTAAGTACTAGTATAAATTTTAATATTTTAAATTAAAATCTTAATTTAAAATTAAATCTCATAACCCGTTGGGTTGACCCAAGCCCGATAATACTAGGTCATGAACATGTAGTTCTCAACTTGAATCGAAACTTACCCAAATCTGACGTAACCCAAACCCAATATGATTGGCCCGAACCTACCTTGACTGACCGGTTTGTCAGGTCTACACTGAAGGAAAAGATTGAACAATATGACAAAATATTCAATACCCTGCGCTACACTGGCTTTCTTCTCCCCTCATCCGTGAGTATTTAAATTTAAATTTTCAATGATTGCATCATTTCATTCATTTAATCATCTAATTAAGTTTCAATTATTGATGTATGAAGTATATGTTGTTTGAGTACATTCTTGATTTTGGAAAGATATTTGGAGTGAAGATAGAGCAAACAAATCCAACACTTGTGAGAATGTGCCTATAGAGTGATAAGTTTCTAAAAAAGAGGTTCAACCACTAAGATATTGTGGATACAAGTTAACGTTAATATAGAGTGTATATCGACTACGACTAGAATGTCGACTACGTTGTAGATCGACGTGACTATATTGAGTGTCGAGCAAAAATTGGAAAGTCTACTAAGTTGTATTGTCTACTACAACTTTTCAGTCGACCTACTCTGATATATTCATCTTATATTTTTACCTTAAAAGCCATGGAATTCTGTTTTACAGAATGTATGGAGAATTCTTTTTCCAGGAGGTAGTGAAATAGGTGCTCCTTTAATCACTAGCTTGACCTCCTTGGCATGTGTTGCCAATATATTTCTAGAAGCATTTTTCATGGGACTCCAAAGTTGTGATAATCATATACCAATATACAAGTAAAAGGAAGATGTTGTTCCCTCTTAGAGTGAGGATGAAAATATTTCAGTAGGGACTTCAATTTTGGATGATGTTGTTCCTTTTGTTAGCGATGTGTCACATACACCTTTCTCCAAAAAAATGCATTTAAAAGAAGAAAACCATCTAGGCCGAGAACCACACCCTTCTCTCCCAAGTAGCACAACCCACCCATGGGCAAACCCAAAAATATAAATCCCCTAAACCAAATCCCCCACATGTGACATCTTTTAGTGGAACCGTAAGTGAAAACTTGTTAGTTACCGTGAAAGAATACATAGATGGAAAATTTAACTGAGCTTCAGACTATGCTAGTTTGAGAAATGTCATGGAGGGAAAGTTTAAAAATTCTCTAAAAAAAACTTGCTCAACACCTTAATTCAGACCTTAAAGGGAATGAATGATGAACATCATAGCTTCTTGCCCAGTATATTTACAACCCGTTATTGTTCACGAGAGCTTAGAGACCAATTGGAAACAAGAGATAGACAATTACTTGGGGAACATCATAGCTTCTTGATGCTTTAAATTTTATACTAGAGATTCTAGTATCAGCTTGATAGAAAGTATTTAGAATACATAATATGAAAATAAGCTAATTAACCATTGAAGTCCACATATCAATGCAGAAGATCATATGAAAGAATACACATCACACTTTCCTACAGTGCATTACATTATAAGTGAAGTATGATGGGATCATGAAATATACACCCATCAACCTCATTAGAAAATTAGAAGTCACAATCTGGGTGAGGAAAGTCTCAACCCCAATGGTGACTATTTTTCTAGCCTCAAATGCAAGTTGAAATTGGTTCGAGGCCTCGCATTTTATTTCTCGATCAAGGCAGATTTCTCTTTTAGGGAGTACTACAATTTCTCTTACTAGGTAGACTCTGAGGTGTTATTTGATGCATCCTTGTTTTAGAATATTGATTTAGTGAGTTATGCTATTATTCTCGTTTTGCATATAGAAAAAAATTAGTGGCTAGAAATGGTGGACTAGATTGTAGTTAAAACCCTCTCTTAGCAGAAGTTATGACTTGTCAAGAGGCACTATTGTAACTTAAATCGAGATCTGCACGTGAGATTACAATTTTTTTGGATTGTCCACAACTTGTCCATGCTATTTAACAGGGGGCTCAGTCATTCTGCTCGTCCTACTTTGGCTCATTGATTGAAGAGTGCTCAAATTTATTAGGATCTTTTGCTTCCGTTAGCCATGTAGGCCAGTTTTTTAAAATTGTGTTGCACATACTCTTGCTAGAAGTGCCTCGACTCAAGCACCTTCGTGAGAGGTGATTCCTCCAAACTATGTAGCTGATCTTTCTCGAATTTAGTAATAACATGTTTTTCCTTAAAAATGAAAATATAATTTCAATGTGGTTAGTAAGAATTGAGGTTGTGCAAAAAAGCATGCAAAAATTACATTTTTTATCACAAATATCAAGAGTTAGACCTTACTATTTTGACAATTATATTTCAATCACTGAGATTCATTCATGTAACAATGGTACTCAATGTCATTATCGATGATTCCTATCTCCTAAACCTCCAAGCATCCTGTAGCCAATCAGTGATGGTCTAATGGAGAACGAGAAACCATGACATAAAGCATAGTTTTCAGAACCGGACCGGTGACCGGACCAGTCAAGGTACTGGTTCACTGGTTTACTGGTCGAACCGGTGGTTCAACTAGTCGAACCAGTGGTTTAAACATATTTAAAAATTATATAAATATAAATAAATAAATAAATAAAAATATATATGTGTGTGTGTGTGTATGTATATGTATATGTATGTGTGTGTGTGTATATATATATATATATATTTACACACACACACATACATATAGACACACACACATTCTCATTTATAAATATCTAAAGAAAGTAATATATAACATTTAAGTAATATTATATTAATATACTTGAGTTATTTTATAAAAATAAAAAATAAAATTTACATATTAAAAAAATATATAAGAATTTTAAATGAAGAGTTGATTTTATTTTTTTCAAATAAGTTGTTTAATATTAAAAAAATCAAAATTTTTGCATGATTTACATTTTGTAATAGTATGAATAATATCAATGATTTTGTGTTTGACTCATAGCTATATAATATTATATTTATAAAATTGAAAAGGAATTTATATACAATCTTTTTTGTAATTATGAAATATTATAAAAGATTATGTGAACTTGACAAAAAGCACCATTGCTTGGATGATTAGAAGCTCAACCAAATGTCTAAGAGGTCTTGGGTTCAAACCCCATGGAGGCATGTTTTGGAAAAAATCAGCAAAAAAAAAACTGGGCAGCCGGCCGGCCGGTTCGGGCCGGTTCGAAGCAGGTTATGGTCCAATGGGCTGGACCGGACCGGTTGGACCACCGGTTCGCCGGTTCACGGTCCGAACCGGCCGGTCCGGTCCGGTTTTTAAAATTATGACATAAAGCATTAATATTACATGAAATGACCTCTATTTTTGATAACCTCATTAATCTCAGGCGAAGTAAGTAAATGCTCATAAGAAATAGAGCGTTTGAGTTTCGACCGACTCCGGTTCAGCAAAAAGACAATCGGAAATTCGGAAGGTATGAAAGCGAAATTCCAATTATACCCTCACAGATCTTCAAGCTCTTTCCAGCTGTAGATCAGGCAATTCTTCACGTTCTTTCTTCTCCTCCTTCCTATATACCAAAGCGCTCTCATTTCCCCCCTTCCCAATCGCCCAACGACGGCTCCGCCGCTCATCGCCGCCGCAGTGACAATGACGAAGCAACCCATCTTCTTCTTCTTCTTCACTCTCTTCTCCGTCCTCTCCCTCGCCGCCGCCGAGATCAAAACCCCCAGGATCACTTCGGACTCCCGGGCGATGATTCTGTTCGAGCGGTTCGGGTTTACCCATACGGGTCACGCCGCCATCACCGTCTCGTCGGTTTCCGTCGTATCCACCCTCTCCGCGCCCGACCCGTCTCGGCTAGGGTTCTTCCTTCTCTCCCAGGAGTCCCTGATCCAGGTCCTTCTGGAGCTCCAGCAAAATCCCTCGTTTTGCGTGCTCGATTCCAAGTATATAAATCTGCTCTTCACTTTCCGAGACCTATCGCCGCCGCCTAACTCCTCCTACAGCCACTCCTACCCCATCACCTTCCCCAATGAGTACTCCCTTTTCTTCGCTAACTGTGTCCCCGAATCCAAGGTCTCCATGGACGTACGCACCGAGCTTTACAACCTCGATGATCAGGGCCGGGTCAAGGATTACCTCTCCGCGGGCCTCACCCAGATCCCTACTCTTTACTTCCTATTCTCTGTAATCTATTTCGGATTTCTGGGTTTCTGGGTTTACATCTGCTGCACCAACAAGAACTCCGTCCACCGGATCCATCTCCTGATGGCAGGGTTACTGGTGATGAAGGCTTTGAATCTGATCTGCGCCGCGGAGGACAAACACTACGTGAAGGTGAGTGGGACAGCTCACGGTTGGGATGTGTTGTTCTACATTTTCCAGTTCATCCGCGTGGTTCTCCTCTTCACTGTTATCATCTTGATCGGCACTGGATGGTCGTTTTTGAAGCCGTTCTTGCAGGAGAGGGAGAAGAAGCTCTTGATGACTGTGATCCCTCTTCAGGTATTGGCTAATGTGGCCTCTGTTGTGATTGGAGAAACTGGACCGTTCATTAAGGACTGGGTCACGTGGAATCAGGTGTTTCTGATAGTCGATATCATCTGCTGCTGTGCAATCATCTTTCCTATTGTGTGGTCGATTAGGTCTTTGAGGGAAACATCAAAGACCGACGGGAAGGCGGCGAGGAACTTGGCAAAATTGACCCTTTTCAGGCAGTTCTACATTGTGGTGATTGGGTACCTCTATTTCACAAGGATTGTGGTTTTCGCCCTGAGGACCATTGCTGCTTATAAATACCAGTGGGTGTCAAGTGCTGCTGAGGAGATTGCGAATCTTGCTTTCTACATGACAATGTTTTACATGTTTATGCCTGTGGAGAAGAATCAGTACTTTGTTCTTGACGAAGAAGATGAAGAGGCTGCAGAGATGGCTCTTCGCGACGAGGAATTCGAGCTCTGAACCAACGGAATGGATGGATCCCATTTTGCACCTATCTGGCCCTCAACCTTTTCACTGTGAGTTTCTCTGTGAAGGTGGTGTCTAGATTTCCTGGGTTGAGTTCCATTTCTCGCTTTGTTCGCTTTTACCATCCTTTTTTTGCCCTCTTATTATGGTATTTTCGTTTTTTCTGAATGTGAAACTGTGAAGTTCAGGAACTATACTTGGAGTTTTCTAAACAATGGCATTTTTATGTAATTGAATTGGATATGGAAAGCCTTAACTTTATGAAATGCAGTGCACACTGTCTTGACTCATCATGTTTAGGTTTGTCTTCTCTTATGATGCATTGTTCTTTGGTATAATTAGTTTTAGAATGGTTATTTGCCCGTTTTCAAGCCGTGAGAGCTTGTGAGAATGCTAGAGTAGTTAAGAATGAAATGTCATTTGGAGTTTTGCATGTTGTTAGCCACTTTTGTGAACTATGTCTCTGTTGGTATTTGGTAACAATAGCAGTTTAAGGGCGCGTTTGGTTTGGAGGGTGGGACGAGGAGCTTCATTTCACCCCTCTTGCCTTGTTTGGTTTAAAAATAAAAAAACCATGCTAGGGTAAGAGCACAGACCTTTATTGTCTGTGCGACACAAACAATAAAGGAAGGTATGTGTGGCGTGTGCCTCCAAGCATGGGGGTCATGTTTGGGGTCACCCTTTTGGGGTTATCCTAGCTTTATTGAAAAATCAAAGGGAGGTGAAGCTTCATTCCCCCCACCCCCACCCCCACCGCGGTTTTTCGTTCATCCTAAACCAGAGTTCTTTGGGTACTTAAACCCCACTTCCTTATGAGTGCTATACTGCTATCCTTGACCCGGATTCGTTCCCGGGCAGGTTATCGTTTGACTAAATTGGACCTAGACAGCTAGATTTGTGGGAGAAATAAGCTCATATCATGTCAATTTAGAACCTTACAATAGTAGTAGGATGGTGTGGACTTATTTATTGTCTGTCATTTAGGCACGCACTCAGTGGTCTTGTTTTTACTCTGTTGACTTCTATCTTTCTATCAAGGAATTTTGTGCTTGTGTTCTCCTGTTGGCATTGATCACATGCTGTCTGTCACCACCTCGGATTCCAAAAGACTAGAGTCCTCAAAATCTTTGTTTCGAATTCACCAGAATTACTTGATTTGTCAAAGCATAAAATTATTCTTAGGTCTCACATTATCTAATACGGAGTATTAATTTTGTATTTCAACATTATTTTTTGTGATGACATTATAGATAAGGTAATGGTTTTTTAATACTCCATAACAACTATTCCATCCGTCCCAAATTATAATGTCTGTTCACTATTCACAAGGTCAAACTTTATTCACTTTCTTTTTCTATTTTCGTTAGCAATTTGATACTCCGTAAAATAAAATACTATTGTCACTATTAGTTTTGTAGATGTTTTGATGTAGTATTTTAATATGTAATTTTTATTTTTTAACTCTATACCATTTGTCATATAAAATGATTTGAAAATAATTTCGGTCAAACATCGTAAAACGAAACAGACGTTATAAAATGGGACGGAGGGAAAGAAATACCAATTATTTAACTTAGAGTTGAAGGTGTTCATGTAAAATTAATAAAATAATGATATTACTCAAGGTAAAATTTAATAATATGTGATTTGTACTACCTCCGTCCCATTTTATAACGCCTGTTTCGGTTTACGATGTTTGACTAAAATTATTTTCAAACCATTTTATATGACAAATGGTATAAAATTAAAAAATAAAAATTACATATTAAAAAACTACAACAAAAGATCTACAAAACTAGTAGTGACAATAATATTTTATTTTATCAAATTGCTAACGAAAATAGAGAAAGAAAGTGAATAAAGTTTGACTCTGTGAATAGTAAACAGGCATTATAATTTGGGACGGAGAGTAGTTTTTTTTCTTTATTTACATTTTATTCAGTTTTTATATTTATTACTCACTACTAATCATAGAATCAAATTTTAAACACTTTCAATGCCGATTATCAGTAATCATTTGATAAAATTTCAGTCAAACATCGTAAACCGAAAAAATTGATTTGATATACAAAAAAAAAAGGAAAAGGAGAAGAAAGTGGGGAGGGTCGTTCAATTGCTGTCACCGCCGCCCGTGGGAAGAAGCAGCGGCCGCCGATGGAGTCACCGTTCAATGGCTGTCACCGCTGCACATGGAGTCATCGTCAGTCGTCCGAATCATTCTTGCGTCCCGCTCTTAATTTGAAGGCATCAAATTTTTTTAAAAATCACCCACGGATGGGTTCGGGGGGGGGGGGGGGGGGGGNCTAACATCACCGCATCTAAATCTAAGGCGGGATGCAGGCCACGTTGGCTTCGGAGGGTGGACGGGCCTGCGATGGAGGCAGTCTAAGGTCTATGTCCATGCTCGGACATAATCCATTCCCAAAGACATTCAATGTCTGGTTTTTCTTAGACAGTTTATTCTAGGTTTTCGAGTTTCTGAATACTCGTGATAGTGACCAATTAAGGATTACCATTTCTGGTCGTCTCATCCCCCATTCTTCTCCCTTTCCAAGGCTACAAAACGAAATGCGTGACAAACTTTCTGCCCGATTCAAGCACAAGTATGACCGACCTAAGAATAGTATCACAGAACCCCGCGAAGGAAATTTGCAGGATTAAAGGGCTGGTGATGGTACAAAAATCATTTGAAATTCTCAACGTTCATGTCCACGCAATCTGGAACTCCTCTAAGATTGCATTGGATCATCTCATTTTGCAAGTATTTTCATTAAACTACTGCACGAACGCATACTGCGACCATATCGAGCTTCTTCAGAATGCGATCAAGTAACCTAATGTAGGATACACAACAGTGCAACATGACAATGTTCACGAAAGTGGGTCACCCCACGAGAACGGGTTATACAAACGGGGGGACAAGACAAAAGGGAGAGAGAATTAAAGACATTTATATTAAACCAAAGTAATTTATATTTTAAAAGCTTTCAAAAAAATTATGTTTTAAAAAGAAAAGATCAGCAAATGTTTTCCTCGAATCCCAGAGATTATTACAAATTTCTAATAAGAGATCGAGAATAAGGTGTGATGGGTATATTTGCACCAAAATATTACCTGCACACCATCCCTCCAAAATCCCATCATTCGTGGATGCCGATGACCTGATAAAAGATCGAAGTACAACTAATGCAGAATTCGGATGCTGATTTGGTTGTTGAGACAGAACCCTCTGTTCTTGGTGATAAAAGCATGCGAAGCAGCAAGCCGCGAAGGGAAGTTCACAACAGCCCTTTTAACTGACTCTGTACTTCCTGGTCTGCAATCAACCACCAACCCCGTCCCCGCAAACCCCTTGATTTAAAGAAAAGAACAAATAATAATAATCCAGAAAGAGGCTTAAAAATTTTCAGGAGTAACCTACCGTAACGGCATAGGGCGGATATCTATAGAAGAAGCATCATATTGGCATCCAGAAAGAAAGCGTTCAACGTCATCAAACACTGCATTCCGAGGGATCCCTTGCAGTACAATCTGGGGAAAAAGATAAACAGGACACAAAAAATGCCTCAGTATTTTTCAGATTCTTAAGACCCAAATATTAATGAAGACAATGGTAAAAAATACTTTTTGTCGATATATACACCGTAAAATATTATGTCTTTTTGTGTGTGTGTGTGTTTGTTTGTGCACTTTGCAAAATTTGAAGTGCCGCCGTATTTTTCAGATCCATAAAACCCAATATTAATGAAAATAATGGTTAAAACATATTTTTTTCAATATATACTCCATATAATGCTCTCTCTCTGTGTGTGTGTCCTCCTTCAGTGAGTTTTGTTTCTAAAAGAACTTCACTTGTTCGTTTTTGGGTTGTCCCTATATGAACTTCACTTTTCCATTCAAGGAAACAAATATGTGGTTTATATGTTTTATTTATTTCATAAATAAATCTCAACCACACAATTCCACTTTCTTAAACTCCGTGTAAAGAGTAAATGTGAACTTCTACTAGAGACGGGTGGGGAATTTATCTCGACAGCTATGTATAGAGCTGGTGAAGTAGTTGCAAGATTAGCATAGGCTTGGCTTCCTTCTTGCCTTTCTAGCCCTTGTCTACCAAGTCCCTCAAACAGAGGTTGTTTTTTGAAAATTGTAACCAATAACCTGTTGATAACTACTCAGCCTTATATGTTTCTGATATTTAAGTTCTTTAACTGCTCCTTCTGCTAGGTGTATTTAGAGTGAGGGACTAAATTGAAAGCCATGATTAACAGCAGGAATAAAAATAAAATTCTTTCTAGAATTTAAAGTCAGACCAAGATGAAAGACACTGAACATCAGGAGTATAGATTTTCTTACAGATTTTCCGTCATATGATCTCACATTCTCCCATTGCATCCGGTCAACCTATCACAAAAAAGCAAATGGAAACTCTAAAAATTTTCATGAAAACAGCTCCACCCACCCCACCACACACAAACTATGGGGGGAGGGGGGAGGGGGGAGGGTGGTTTAAAACAACACATAGTACTTTAAAAATAGAAAATACCCTTAAAAGACCACCTTGACGGGTGGTTTTTGGAGTAACTGCTCTGAGCGCAGTAGAATAATCAGCTTGAGATCGGAATTGAATTACCCTGTGTTCACAAGAATGAAATGAACTCTTGACAAAAACCATCTGTAATTCTAAAGTGTTTTGGGAAAGGTTTGGTCTACTTCCGAGTATTTCTTTATTCTGCTGAATGAATCTGATAATTAGAGACCATTATACCAGCTTCTAACTTTCTACAACAAGAACGACTGCAACAAGTAAATAGAATCCCACAAGTATGATCTTTGGGGGGGGGAGTATAGGTGTACACAAACCTTACCCCTACTTTCTAGCAGGGAGGCTATCCAAGAGAACCCCGACTCAAAAAGAAGTATGGGCAAACAAACTACAATACACTATCGAAGCACTAGCAAAGAAAGAAGATGCCAAAAAAAATTAAGATTCACTGGCCAAAAGTATAAACGAATGCTACCGGGTCTACCCAAGTATCCTGATCCTGGCATTCCTATCTAAAGTCATATCCTCGTGGAGATCAAGGAGCCTTAAGTCCCTGCCTATTCACCTCCCCCAACTCTTCCGAGGTCTACCTCTACCCCGACCCCCAGTTTCCGTAAGGCTCTCGCACTTCCTCAAAGGGACTTCACCACCTCTCCTCTTAACGTGTCCAACCCACTTGAGCCTAGCTCTCCGCAACTTCTCCTCAACATGAACCACACTCACCCTCCCCGAATAACCTCGTTCTGAATCTTATCCATCCGTGTATGCCCACAAATCAACCTCAGCATCCCTATCTCTGCCACTTGGAGCAAACGGATGTGACTCATAAGTTTTCTTCACCGCCCACCACTTTGCTTCATATAGCATGGCCAGCCTGCCACTGCCCGGAAAAACTTCCCTTTGAAGTTAAAATTTATAAACCAGAAAAGATGCTAGATAAAGAAGCTGATATATTCTTTCAAGTCCTCGATGTACACCACAAAGAATCAAAAGATAATACCCCCCCTAGTCCTAAATTAAAAGTCCATTTTGTCCGAACACAAATTTTAGAAGAGTGATGCAAAGTAAAAAGTATGAGGCTGGAGAAGAGAGAAATAAGCATAGTCACATATTCCTTACCCAAAAAAATGGGACTTTATTTTAGGACAGATAAAAAAAGAATTGTATTGTTTATTTTGGGGCAAAGGGAGAAGCTATTTGGAAAGAAACCTTTGTTCACCAAAACAGCAGCAAATACAGCATAATCCCAACTCTTTTATGAAGTGAGGGGTTAAGATCTACACAATCTTAGCTAAATAAAAAGATGTTGTTTCCTTTAAACCCTTAATGCATTGTTGAATCTACTACTCAAAACCTCAAAAACGTAATAAGAAAGATTAATGTGCTATTTTGATTTAGTCCATTATTCACCCACAGCTAAAACAATGCCTCTTTTAAATCCATTTGCAATAAACATTCATCGAAACCAATCAATTAAAAAATGTAAATTTAACAAGATGACAAAGTGGAAAGTTCAAATAGGGAATGCGGAATAGAACATTACACTGAGGTTCCATTGAAACTTGTGTTGTATTCAAACTTGACATCTTCAACCGTTACATGACAGTCTCCCATCATAGCTATAATATCAGTCTTTGATGCAAACCTGCCAATCAAATTTATCCTCCCATAAACTTTACCTGTAGACAAAGAGAGCAAAAAGAATCAGATGCTTTTAGGAAATTACTCTGCAACCATTATACATATGAAATGAAAATGAATTAAAATGAATTTAATGCTCAGAAGTATACCACTTCAATTGCTAGAGATAAATTCTCAGATTTAATTAAAAAATCATTAGAAATGGCAGGTTATGTATGCATCACATTCCCTCTGTCTGCAAAAAACTCGCTACTTTATATTTTGGGACGACCATATAAAACATCTACACTTTCCTATTTAAGAAATGAACATGGTGGCTCATAAAATTTCTCTCTCAGTCTCCCATCTAAACAGATATCAACAACACATTTCAGTTTTCAGCAAATGTCAGATTAAGAAACAAGGGAAGGAAGGAGTATATATCTACATATGTGTATGTGTGTGCCGCTCCATAAATTCAAGAAAGCTTATTACCCACGAGGGTAGCCAAATTGGTCGGGAAGTGAAACCACAAGGTTCCCAGACAGCACATTGGCCTTCATTGACGAGCCAGCTGGTTTACCACCTCATGGTTCTTTGCAGAACAGAACCATGAGACGGTAGTTGTGAGTTCCAAATTCTAAACAATATAAAAAGCTTGAACTTTTAGGATATCCAATGCGCAAAGCATGTAGGAAATGCAGGAGAAACCATCAAATCAAAAGGTAATCTCCGTAAACCCTAACCTCAAACCACTAATTACGTTGAAAGGCACATGAATCGAAGAAGTTACTCGAAACGTAGATTCGATGATACCATTAGCTTCAAGATTTGGAATCGGTCTGGGAGGTAAGTCCCCAGTTCGCGGCTGCTGCGGTGGTGGTGCTGGCGGCGGATTTTGAGCGTCTGTGGTGAACAGTCTGGGACTGTTCCTGTTGAGCGAGGAAACCCATTGATTTCCCAAGGCTACTTGGATCGGACGGCTAGATTTCGCAGTGATTCTGATGAGGCTCATCATCTTGGAGGATGTTGGTTTCCCGGGAGCGTAGAGAGAGTGAGGGAGAGTAGACCACAGAGATGGGTGGAACTTGGAAATGGCGACTGGCTTGCTTCACTAATCCCTAACCTATCCAGCAAAACGTCCCATAGCTGTTCTTTTTCCCAAAACAACATAGTTCTGTTTGGGAATACCTTTAGAGATTAGCGTTAGCTTTTTGAAAAGGCTATCTACGGTCAGCGTTTAGCGTTAGCGTTTTCAAAGTAATTTGCACCGTTAAAATTTTATCCAAAACGCTAACGCTAATCCCTAACGCTATTCCCAAACAGACCCTATGTTATGGAGTACTAAAAAATAAATACTCCGTAGTAAATTCTATAAATAGTCTTAAACCACAAATAACTTTTTATATTTAGTCTTCAATTTTAAAATATTACGTATGTGTCTTTAGTGATTAATTATGGAATAGTTTTTCAAAAGTTAAAGATAACTTATGTAATATCTTAAAATTGAGAACTAAATATGAAAAACAACTTGTAACTAGGGATCGTTTATAGGTTTTACTTAAAAATAAGTACTCTTTATATTAAATGGTTACAATGTGTGAACAAATCATGTTCGAGTAAGGTCGTAAAATAAAATATTCTTGTCACATTTTACTTTACAGAATTTTACATATAATTTTTTATGTGATTTGTACTTTATCATTTCTATATTAATTTATAAATAAAATAATTTTAAAAGAAATGAGATTTTGCAAATTGTTCGAAGTTGGACGATTATTTTTAAAGGGAGGGAGTACATTTTATTCGAGGAAAACAATGAACATAATCATTCATAAAATCCAACATAAAAGGTGGGTGTAGAGACTACCCTAGTGCTCACAGGGGATCGCAAGGACGTGGGCAATCGAGTTTGTAAATCAAGTGATAAAAAAAGACAAATGAAATATCAATCACTAGAGCTAATACTAAGGATTAACAAGAACTATGAGGCAATCAGATTCAACAAGAATTTTTGACAGAGGTAACTCGTTCAACCATCTAAGGGCTTCCTTTATAGTATGACCAATTGCCAATTCGAGAATAGATACCATGCAGGGTGCCAAACATTAGTGCTAGAGATGTAATGTTGACGCCATATTTGTCATTGCCTGACTTCTAGATTGTCGGTAGAAAGAAGAGGGTGAGTGAGACATCTTTGTCATCGAACAATGATAACACTCGAGATCGAGAGCCATTCTGAGAAGCTCTTGATGGGTGGGTGAAACCATATATCCAAAATGGAGGAGATAAATCTTTCAGAATTTCTTCCATACATCTTACAGTTGCCACTTCTATCGATGCTTGTTGTCATCGCACTCTAGACTCACTTGCTATTGTTGTCGCTGCACTACCATGGTAAAACTGCTAAAAGAAAAAAAATGCCACTTGAGTGCCAACTGAAGCCACAACGAGAAAGGTGGCAATGCATAATGACAAACACAATAATATTGCATAATGTCAAAAACAAAATAACATGTCAATGAACAATGTGACTTGCGAACATACAATGTCAAATTTCATGACATTAAACAAATAGTGTATATTAAAAATAAAGATAAAAACTCTAACTTCATCCAGACCTGTTATTGGGGTAGGTGGTAACCACGTATATTAGAGATGAGCACGCACATCGGTGGATTGTATGGCGATTGGATGAGATTGTACATTCAACGATGAGAGAAGAAAAAAGGAGATGGATTTTTCCTAATAGGATGTGGATACATGTCAAATGAAAGAAGATCGAAAGTATTTTTCGAAGATGGATTGTTTAAAGATAAAAATATGTCATTTCTAAGACAAGGTTATGTTTTGTTCTTATTTTAGAAATTTTTTTATTTGAGAGGTCAATAACATTTAACTTCACAGAAAATAAGATAAATATTAAAAAGTTGGAGAAGCATGAAAAATGTATTGTTAAATTTTATTTGAAAGTAGAGATGTCAGTGGGCTGGATTTGAATCGGCTAAAGCTTCACAATTACTCATCCAGTCACTCTCTATCTGTCATTTGTTATGTATAACGTACATCAATCATCAGTGAGTGAAACCGCTATAATGCGGATGACACTAACATTATCAATTTTAACTTATATATAACATTTCATTAAACTAGTATAAACATATTCAATGGTACATTAAGTTCTCATAACAACACAGTACATTAAGTTCTCATAAAATCATAATTATGACTAAAAATAAAAGTTAAATCACATCTATAAAATTAACATATGCCAAAACCAAGTTAATCTTTAATGATTTTTTTTATAGACTAAGGCCCCGTTCTGTTCAACTTATTTTTTCTTATTGTTTCTTATTCTTATTAAAATCAGACCAGACCAGATCAGATCGAATCAGATCAGATCAAATGAGATATAGTCAGATCGGATTAGATTCAATCAGATCAGATCAACTCAGATCAGATCTAATCAGATCAGATCAGATCGCATCAAGAATTATTATTATTATTATTATTATTATTATTATTAGTATTATTATTATTATTTTTATTATTATTATTATTATTCTTTAAAATGAAAAAGAATAAACTTTAGAAACAAGTTAAATAGAAAACTGAGAAAGTAATCCTTAACTATTAGACGTTGGAAAAATTATTTTTAAAATACATTAACAATGTCAATCTAATTCTACTTTTAAAACACATTTTTATTGCTACCTGTAATTTTAGTTTCTAAAGTTTTGATCTCTTATGAGGATGAGATATTTTAATAAAAATACTATCTCTTCTATATATTGATTATCTAAATTTAATTACTTTTTAATGTATACATAAATTAAATATTTATTCTAATGTCTATATGAAGTAATTATTAAAATATTAAATTAATATTCTAATTTCGAAACAAATCGTCATAAAATAAAAAATATTATTACATTATAATATGAATGATTATTCTAATATATGAATTAAATATTTTTATTTTATTAAAAAATAATCATAAAATAAAAAAATATTGATTATATTATAATATGAATTATCATTACAATTTTCAAACGTTATTATAAAGTCAAATCAAATTATTGATTTGAATTTTAAATTAAATCATAATTAATCAGATCAGAACTGCAAAAAATTAGATCAGATGAGAAAAACTAAGTTGAACGGAACGGAGCCTAAGAATGAAATATTAGTTGTTCGATGTACTACATCTGTATGCATGATTTTTAACTTTTTATATTAGTGTTTTCTTCCTTCCATTTTTAAATTGGATGAAATTTTCAAAATTAGATATTCATGTCATCTTATGACATTTGCTTTAATTGGTGCTCGTACTGTGTTTCATTCACAAAATTAACAGTTTTTATATCTCCTAGTCCCCATAATAAATCTTTCACCCCGCCTCAACCCGAACCCACCTCATATCCTCTTCAATTATACCTCCAAAATTAGTTGACTTTACAACCAATTTTTTGGACTACAAGTCAATTAAATTAGGGAGATGCAATTGGAGGTAGAGAGGGTGGTTCGGATTAGAAGTATAGAACTGTTAAATTTATGTTAAATTTATGAATAGGGCATCATATGATTTCCGATTGGAGCACATGAATAACATTGATAATCAAGTCACTCGAACCGCACCATATTTATATAGTCAAAGATAGTACTGCATGTGCATTATAAAAAAAAAATTCATAATATTAAATAATGTTGTAAATAATGTTTACAATATATGTGTAAGATTGTTGAAGCCACCTCAAGCTATTCTCTACATTGATTTTAGGTACACAAGCTATTAAAAAGATGTAATACTATCAATTTTATGTATTGAAAATATTGGAGTTCAAGTAAAACTATGAATAATTGAATTAGGTACTTATTTGAAACAAAACATGCTTAAGCTTTCTAAACATAGTACGGAGTATTATTTTTTCTTCATAAATATATAAGTGAGTTGGGTGCTATATAGGGTGAGGTGTGAGACAATTCTTCATTAGCATCTATCCGGTCCATTATCCGATCCATCAATCATTTCTCTCTATTATTATCTATTCAAATTTAAATACTCCCTCCTTAGAATTATCGTCACAATTACTATTCTGGCTTGTCTTTAATTTTTTTTGTTTGCATGTTTTCGTTGATTATTTGATAAAATATAATAATTTTATCACATTTGGTTTCTTGAATTTTTTTAATATAGTTTGTAAATATGTAATTGTAATTTTTATTTTTATACCAATTTGTAAACAAAAAATATTTAATAGAGATGAGATTTTACACATTGCTCGAAGTCAGACTATAGTTTTGAGGCAGGGAGTATATTACAACTGGTCAAGTGGGGCAGGTGTCGATCGGGTTGAGTGGGAATTGTTACATACTCCTGTCGTCCCGAATTTATCGTCACATTTACTATTTTATGCTTTCGATCACTTTTGTTTGTTTACACATTTTTGTTGATCATTTGGTAAAATAAAATATTTATGTTACATCTTGTTTTCTACTTCCTCCATCTTTATTTAGATTACAAATTCAGAGTTACGAGACAAAGTTACTCGTCTTTTAAAATGGTTTTATTTATAAATTAATATAGAAATTAAAAGTGAAATTGCATACTCCCTCCGTCCTGTGAAACATTTCTCCTTTCTTTTTTCATCCGTCCCTTAAAACATTTCCCATTTCTTTTAAAATGACTCTTTTACCCCTCCACCCAAACCCTATTGATTTCGCCTGACACTCCAACCCAGCATTTGCACCGATTCCCACCCCTTCTTTGTCTCTCTCCAGATCTATATTCATCCTCTCCCTTTTGTGTAGATCTAAATCCATTCTTCTCTCTAGATCTAAATTCATCCTCGAATAATAGATCTAAACCTCCTCAACTTCAGATCTAATCTTCTTTGCCCCGATCTGATGTTTTCTCGCGATCCTTCGATTCCCAGTTTTCAACTATTGAGTGATAGTGATGACGATGCAGTTCCTAGATATGGATACCCTCCTCCATCGAAGGCTGAGAATAAGAGGGCTGAGTTAAATCGTTGGGGATTTGATGGAGGAGACACTGATTCCTCTGAAACAGACCCAACATGGAGCTTCCACAAAAAATATCTAGGGGGTGGTTACTATTATGATCCTGAACGGAGTTATGATGAAGAAGGGGATGAAGACGCAGACGGGAATCAGTGACCTCTAAGGAAGACGGGGAATTGGTGATCTCTGAACAGAGTACACACTCTATACTCTCTTTTACTACGGTTTACCTGTAATGGCTTTTTGGAAAACTAATGATGCAAATCTCTACTTTACATGAAAAACATTTGTTGATATGTGAGTGATAGACCAAAACCCCCCGAGTGTGTATTTTTTGGTCTATACGGTATATGTATAAAATACGGAAAATATATCGATAAGAATATAGACAGTAGACTTTTGACATGGAAACCAAATCGGTGAAAACCACGGGCCTTTTTCGGCGGTACCATGCCAACGAGGATGTTTTATTATATATCGAAGGTATATTTGTAGAACATATTGGCATGATAGCCATTGATGAAGCTCGAAGCTCCATCAAGAAAAAGAAGATGAACATGGCGAATACAATATGTAGGGAATGTAGAAGGTGGCTCCCCTTTCTTCTTGGTTATGTGTCTCTTATATAGGCATCAAGGTAGGAGCTTAGGGTTAGGGTTCCCTAGCGGGCTCCTTGCGTGGACCGGCCCAATATATTTAATTAGGCCCAAGGGATATTATCCCATCAATGGGAATTGATGGGCCAGCAATATGTTCCAAGCAATATTTAAGTCTTTTGAGCTTACCTTTTTCACAGAGAAAAGGCTTGATGGCATTTGAATGTCTTCTTATTTTCTTGCACTTTAGCCACCTTTGGACTGTTGATTTTGAAACATCCATTGCATATGCTAAGGCACGGATGTTCTTCCTCCTATGAAAGGGTACGGCTAACATTTTTTGAATGTCAACAGTACCCATTGTTGGCCTAGAATTCCCTTTCCACTTGCACTGAACATTCACGGGTAGACCTGCCCGCATTTGAGTCTTAGCTATACTCCATATACTCCCAACTGTTTTGCGTGAGATATTGAATTCTGCAGCAACGTCTTTTATACAGCCCCGCTGAAATTTGCCATTTTTACAAAATTGGAGTAACTTTTCAATTACTCGTTTGCGTTTAGCATTACGTTCTTCACAACCATTTTTTCGCGAACTACTCCCCTCGTCTTCTAATGCAGGGCTGTCCAGATTGAAGAGTGGAACCTGGACCAAAGGTGGCAGATCCGTACTGGCTGAAACTGAAGAAAAGGAGGATAAAGATGACGTTGTTGACAAAGATGGTGACGATGGCGGGGAGGACATCTCTACGGACAGCACAACGAAGGACAAAAGGAAGCTTTATGGACTCTCTGAGGAGGAAGTTAGGAGAAAGAAGGTGAAAAGGGACATGCTTTAAATGTGTATTCAATGCAGAACTAAGTTTCTATTTATAAATTTTCAATTAGGAACATGATTTTGTAATTGGAGGGAAGTTTAAAATTTACCAAAAAAAATTTGGCAAAAAAATTTTCCTCAATGTTTGTATTTTGGCCTGTAAATTGTTAAACTTGCTGAATTGCAGTGATGACACTGCCTGTAGGTGCCGAACAAATACACTGTGCGTTTGTACTTTACCACTTTTTCATTACTTTTCATTAAATGCAAATACTATTCACACTTTCTCCTTATTCTTCTTTATTTAAGGGTTTGGGGGTATATTTGGAAAGTCAGTGGTAAAAATACCCTCCCTTAAATTTCAGTTTTGGTCAATATGTCCCGTGTTTCACGGGACGGGGGAGTATTAAAAAGCGACATCAAAGTAAATCAAACCAGAAATGGGGAGAATATTCTATTTTATCAATAATTAAAAATATATACAAATACACAAAAACTCTTGAGATGTTAGAGTAAAAAAATTATAATCAATTGTGGAATGAAGGGTATAGAACTTTTGATATATTTTTAAAATATATAATTTGTACTTTTATTTTTATACTTATTTAAAATAAAATAATTTTAAAAAAATAAAATTATTTTTTATTTTTATGAAAAGGGAAAGTTCTGTACTAGTATTCTTTCGCACGTACTCCGTAATTTTCAAAACTCATTGCCCTGATGACGGACCGGCCTCACCGTCGTCTATCTTATAAAAAAAAGTACAGTACTCCTCCGGGAACTTCTTCAGCGATTTGATACAACCGCCTGGCGAAGAACTCTCTGGAAGCCTCAAATCCATGATCACCTACCTCCGGTCAAGCAGACGCCGTGCGTAACGAGCGTGAATCCACATTTCACCTCCGGCGGATTATCCTCATTACAAGGGTCGATCGTAGGGTTCATGACAATCCGCTGTCGATTAAGATCCGATCCTTCTATTATACTCATCTTGTATAGTTCGGTTCTGATCAGCTGGATTCCTGGTAAAAGTTCAATGATCTCGCCGTAATTTGTTTTTTAACTGATCTTGTAGGTTGCGATCCTGTTGATCTTGTAAATCTCAGTGTCAGTTCTTCGTTTGATTCTTCTGATTAAGCGAATGACTAATCAGTTGTTAAACAATAAATACTACGGAGTACCTCTTTCCAGATTATTCTGCATGGTTATTTTCCCCCAGTCAAATTTGATGAATTTTAACCAACAATTAAATACAAATTATATTGCATATTAATATGAAACATATACTACGTATTTGATTTTTTTTCACTTTTTTGCAAGATGAATTTAATTAAATCATTTTTATTTAATTCATGCTCAAAAGTCGAATTAGACAAATATTTGGGATGGAGGGATTAAAAATAAGTGTTAATAAAAAAATCTGTTTTAATGGCTCTGCAGAACTGATTTCGGCAGCCGTGGTTACACTTGATTCAATTCAAATATACAAGACTCATGAGCTATTTGGTCGCAGCCCGACCGTTTACTTTCAGTGTAAAGGTGAAAACAAGACGGTTTTGCCTGATGTGAAGAAAAAAGGCATTTTGTATGAGTTCAAAGGTGAAGAGTCTTGGCAGGTGTGTTATCCTTTGTGCATATACAGTAGTTCTGAGTGTTCTTTCAATTTACAGTGAAGAATGTGGTAGCTTACTGTTGTAGATCATGACTTGAAATGATGGAAGTTTGATGTTCAGGTTCCTTAGCTTTTCCATCATAAGGGAAGAGTGTGATCTATAATGTTAAATACTCCATATAATGATACGGAGTATCATGAAAGAGGTCGAGTCAGTTGTTCTTCCCGTGTGTTAATTGACGTTAGTGAATTTATGAAATTGATATTACCCAAGTGATGCAGACTTTCAAAAGCAACATGAACTCATGAAGTTGTGGCTGTTTGATATATGCAATTGAGTTTGGAGGTAGGCCGTTAATGAAATACGGAGTTTGGTTATAAGTTTTAATCCGGCTATAAATTAGACATCATCTTCATTTCTCTACTGCACGAGGAATATGTAAATTGATTTCACTAACAGTGACAGTTGTTGTAATACCTTAGGTTTGCTTTATCTGTAAGAAAAATGTCATTTGATACTCCATTTGTCCCACAAAGATTTTACACTTTTCACTATTCAAAATTCACGGGAACTTTTGTTTTTTTGTATGTTTTTATTGATTATTTGATGAAATAAAATATTCTTGTCACCTCTTGTTTTGTAAATTCTTTTTGCACTTTTTAAATATGCAAATTTTATTTTTTACTTCTATCAATCTTTAAATAAAATTAATTGAAAATATTTGAGATTTTACTTTGTTTTGCATAAAGTGTAATTCATTTTGGGACGGAGGGAGTATGATCCAAAAAAATCTTATGCGTTTGACTTTCTTTAACAGCGTTTACAACAAATCTTGAAAAGTGTAAAAAGAGTGATTAGAAATTGATCAGAAGAGAGAGACTTTTTTAGGCACATATTCTTTTCCTTAAAAAGAAAGTGTAGATTATTTTGGGATGAACAAAAAAGGAAAGAATGAAGATTATTTTGGGACGGGGCCTGTATTATTTTCATAATTTTCTGTCGAGCATGTATTTCCAACTATTAGAACTGTTTTGCTGTCTGTTTGTGTTTAGCAGAGTTATTAGTAGTGTGACACTTGTGATAGATCCAGTTTGGAAGCAACTTTTTTTTTTGCAAACTACGCCCAAATTTAAAAAGAAAAAGGAGACAGGAATTAATATTAACACATTATAGGCATTCAGATCTTATAAATGAGTTAAGTAAAAAGTGAAATTAAGACAGGTTCCTTGAATTACCATGAATTACTTACATTCATCTTGATGTGCATGTGGATGTGACTGTTTACACATTAACTTTATCCATCCAGATGAGATTATATATATATTGATTGAATTTTCATAGTATGTGTGTTCATGGTGTGTGCTGTGTGAATTTTACGTACGGAGTACATAGAGAAGTCATATGAGCAATAATAATGTGGTATTGGAATTGCATTCATGTTTCAGCCTTTGACACACCTCTTAGATAAGAAATGCAAGCGATGTGGATTCTACGAGGAGGACACCATAAAATCAGATGACGTGTTTGACGAGTGGGAATTTTGCGCGTCTGAGTTTACAAGTGCTGATGGAAAATACACACATTTCAAAGAGAAAGAGTTCAATGCAACATTTTTGTGTCCAGACTGTGTCCCTCTTGTAGGCGGTGAGTGCTTCTCCTCTCTTCTGTCGCTCTCTCTCATTCACTCTCGGATAATTCTTCCTTTTTAGCCTCTATAAATGTAAAGGGTATGTTTGGTTTAAATTTGTTAGGTGTTCATATAATAGAAATAAACAACAAGGATGAATTTGAACAAATGTCAAAATGTAAATATCGTGTGTTTGTTCTCCTCTGCAATTTCTTTGCTTTTCGTCCGAATTCCTCCAATAGTTTCTCCCTTTTCTGTGTTCCAAAACAGACCCTAACTTTTCATCTCATATCCTTGCAGCACCGGTTCACTCCATTTCCCAAAATGATAAAGGGGGAATGAAGTGGACATTAGCATTGCCAATTGCAATTTTGGTCTCGGTGTTTTTGGTTCTTGGAGGGATAATTGCTTACAAGTATTGGCAGAAGAGGAAAAGACAACAGGATCAAGCACGGTTTCTCAAACTATTTGAAGAGAGCGACGACATGGAGGATTATGGGTTAGGGCTTGTATAGCTAACAAAGTGAGCAATGGAAGGCTCTCTACATGTAAGCTGTATAGAACTATTGCACTGTACACTACATCGACATGAAAAGCTAATTTTCCTCAAATTGTCACTCGTGGTATATTATCTATCCTTTTTTAAACCTTTATTTGTAGCAAAATAGAATGATGCATTTTTATGTTCTCTTTTGTCTGTTTTTAGTTGTGAAATATAGTAGTTTGAGCACACCCAATGGTGTGCAAAAAAAAATCACCCTTCCCTCTCTAACGTTCTCTTTCCTCCACTTATCTTTTTTTTGGATATTTTTTTTGGTTGGTTCCATCAATGAGGGGAAAAAAATTACCTCTCTCAACCAATAAATTTGAGAGAACATGGGGCACACATAGCCATAAGAAAAGGAAAGAAATGTCTCGCTGAGCGACTTTTAAAAAAACAGAATCAAAAATATATTACTTCAAATCGGAGTACAACTATGAGCCTTCCGATTTGCTGAACTCCTAACAACTGACAATGTGAGAGAAGTAAAGTCTTGTATCATTGTTTTACAATCATAAATGGCATCCAAAAAATAGGAATGAGAGTGATTGTTAAAATCTTTTTGGATTGCCTTAAACACGACCTCACTATCAATTTCAACTTCTAAAACATTTTGACCTGACGTTGTCCACAGCCATTTCAAAGCCTCTCGTAGCCCTGCTGCTTTGGCCATTTGTGTATCCTCTAGCCGTCCTAGTCCAAAACGTGCTCCCAGTAAGAAGCACCCATGTTCATCTCGAACCACCATTCCAACACTTCTTGTTTGCACATTGAAGCTAGCTTGCATCCACGTCACATTTGAGGACACCGCTGCTTGGCATTTTCCACTTATCAACCCACCTCCCCGACCCATCTCCCTCTCTATGAGTCGCGGAGCATGTTGTTTGTCATTCATGTAGATCGTGAACTGCTTTAATTGATATCAACCTTGCGCTCCCTGTTCTTCCAAACAAGCTGGTTACGCTTCTGCCACACCTCCCAAAGAATCCTACAAAGTTGTCGAATCTTGTCCTTCGTGAGAGTTGTGCAAGCCTCCTCAAACTAATCCACCATGTTGACATAATCTTTTGCACATGCATAGCCCACCATCCCAAGACATGCATGAGCAAAATTACAGTGAAGTAGACAATGGATGGTAGACTCCTCCCCTATGCAACATTTGGGACACACATTCGCCACTGTTACTTGTCTCATCCGCAAGTTAGCTCGTGCATGTAGCACATCATTGAGACCTGTCCACATGAAATTGCAGAACTTCGGTGGGACCTGCATTCTCCAAACAAAAGACCACATAACCACTGCTCCTCATACAGTAGCCGGTAGCTACGTTTCACCGAGTATGAGCCTTTGATGTCGTCTCTCCAGCTCCATCAGTCATCCCTTTTGTACATGCTTAATGGAATACGTAAGATCTCTTTAATTTCCTCTATCGGGAACAGTGTTTGGAGTAGCTCAACATCCTACTTCCCGGTATCATGATCAATGAAAACTGACACTGATACATCTTTCAACTCCTCCGAGAGAGTTGATCGAATATACAGATCATCCCTCTTTAGCATCCATGGTGAGCCCAACATAAGTGTTTAGTTGCCATTCCCGATCCGCCTTACGCATTCCTTCTTTAAGATACCTCTCCCTTGAGAGACACCACACAAAACTACTTTTACTGCCAATTCCTGCACACAAAAATCACCATTAGGAAAATATTGGGCCTTATAGACCTAATGCACTAGTGAGTTAGGCCTCATTAATACATTCCAACCCGTTTTAGCCAACATAGCCATATTAAACCATTGCATTTTCCGAAAACTCAGCCCTCCATCCACCTTCGTTTTATTCAACAGTTTTGAGGACATTCAATTTATTCCTCTGGCATTCCCATTCTTTGATTTCCACCAAAATTTATTAACTGTTTTTTCAATACTATCACACATGGTTGTTGTGAGCTTAAACATTGCCATCACGTACGTCGAGATTGCTTGAATAACTATTTTTATAAGCACCTCCTTCCCTGCCCTCGATAGAGTTTTGTTTTTCCATCATTGGATTTTACTCCACACTCGATCTTGAATGAATTGGAATACCTCTTTCTTATTTCTTGTAACACCCTAATCCGTTTAAGTCTGCAGCCCATTTCGGACTAAAGTATAAACTTGGTATTCATAGACATTCAAAAATATTTCAAACATTTAAAACTTTATTTCATAACAAGTCATTCAAAATAATAACAGAGTACTTTAATGTTGTGGAAGTTTAATAAAGCATAATACAAACATAATTAATTTATGTCTTTTCAAACAGTAATCCAAATCCAAAACACACATCCGTCCGACCATCTCGTCCCATATGCCTCCAGGAAATCATTGCTTCATTCTTTTTGTTTACCTGCATGTAGCAATTACAACATACTACACGCTCAGCGTTTAAGCTGAGTAAGCATATCTAATGCGTCGAACATTCATATAAACTGAATCTAAATTCATAATCAAATCATTTGATATCATGCACATAATGTTCAGTTCAGATACTCAATAATCATTAGTCAATATTCATCATTCATTATTTTATTTTCACATTCAACGTTTATCCGTCATTCATAATAATTACAATATTCAATTCAATATTCATCATTCAATATTTATTCATATTCAATATTCAACATTCAATAATATCCTTAAACTATTCTTAGTCTAAGGCCAATCACTTTAGTATTTGTCAACCCTTAAACGAATTCTAGTTCAAATAATTAAACTATATTCCAGTACAAAGTATTCCTAAATAATCCTTGAGCTAGGCCTTGTTTAAGATAAAAGGGTTTTTGAAAATCTTAAACTTACCTTCACTTAAGGTCAACCAGAAACCGACAGCGTAGTGTACATTGTTGGGTGGGTGGTACCCCCAAACGAGTAGGTACTCAAGTTTGGTTCTTAGATCCCGTACGTACGTTTTAACCCTGGCCACTGGTGTTCATATCCGCAAGACCTAACTTAAATGGGTACATCTTAGAGGTCTTCTAGATACCTTTCAAATCAACATTAATATGGGTATATCTTAGAAGTCTTCTAGATACCCTAAACAAAACATATTATTTTCACAAACATCAATATATTCATTATGATTTAATCATTCACAATTACCATTTTTAATCAGAATATTTATCAAGATTTAATCATCATAATCATCAATCAATAATCATTACCAAAATCATCAATCAACATAATATTCAATAACAATTAGCGGTCTAGCTTCGAGTGTTAACACCCTAACTTACCATCATGCATCACATAACATTTTTATTTTTTAAAAACATCACTCTTATTGAGAAAATCATTTTTATAATGATCATAATCAATTGGTATCAAAAATAGGATTTTAGAGCTTAAAAATAGCATTTTCGGACAAATTTTCGGATCAGATTTTCGAAGGATCAATCCAGTAGTCTGGATTGATCCAGACTGTAAAAGAAAAGCTCCAGGTGATCGATCCAATGGATATGATCAATCCACCCTACTGTTTTTCACATACTGTTCATCTTCTTCAACCTTCGGTCCATTTTTCGGAAATACCATTTTTAGTCACCGAACTTCAATTAAACTATATAGAGATGTTCTCCAAGGTTCATAGATCATTTTGGAATCATTAAATCATAATTTTAAAATCAAATTCAAGGTTTATGATTCTTAGTCCTTCAAGCATGTTAAACACAAAACTCAACCAAACAACCGTTTATGAACGTAAAAATGATCCATACGAACATTCTAGTCACTAGATATATCTACAGACTTACCTCGAAGGTAAATGAAGGTTTTGAAGATTTTCCGGCGAGGATTGTGGCTATCTCCGGCGACGGGAAGCTCTCTTGACAGCACTACTTCACTCTCTACACTCTCAGCTATCTATTGGAAGAAGAATGGTGTAAAATGGTGAGAAATTAGAGGATTTATATAGGAAGGAGGAGTGGGAAGAAGCCATGGGAGATGACTTCCCTAACACTGTTTTGGCGTCTCAGTGGAGCGGCTGGCGGATTCCTCCGATTCTAAACGCAAGTCCCTGATTGGGACTAATTTGGTCCCAGTCGGGGAACACTTTTTTGTCCAACTTTCTCCGAATTGAAATCCGATTGAACCATTGGGATCAGACAATTAAATTCTACATAATGATATAATTTTCATTATTTATTGACAAACTTTATAAATCACTTATTTTTGGGTCCTTATCAGTAATTAATTAATTATCAATTAATTAATTCTGATAGGCCTATTTTCGGGGCGTTACATTTCTCTCCACCTTAAAATAATTTCGTCCTTGAAATTACCTGAGTAATTGATTGAAGAGGTTTGGATATTGCATTCTCATTGATTCTTCAGTTTCCCACATTGCTTCTTCAATTGAGTGATTTCTCCATAGTATTTTAACTAGAGGGACAGATTTGTTTCTCAGCTCTTTGACTTCCTGTACCAAGATTTGAACAGGTTCTTTTTCATAAGTTAAATTTTCATCAAGGGTTACAGTTCCATCGGTCAAGACATGCGATGGATCAGAACGGTATCGTTTCAACATTGACACATGGAATACATCATGAATTTTGTTTAGTTCGGGCAGAAGTTCTAACCAATAGGCCACTGGACCTACCCGTTCAGTGATTCGGTATAGCCCAATATACCTTGGACTTAGTTTTCCCTTCCTACCAAACCGTAGTACTTTCTTCCATGGTGAGACTTTCTGGAATACTTTGTCATCAACGTTGTATTCAATCTCACGACGTTTCAAGTCGGCATAAGATTTTTGTCGATCGGAAGCCACTTGCAGTCTTTCTCTAACTAGACGAACCTTTTCTTCAGTTTCGCAGACGAGATCAGGTCCTTCAAGCTTTTGCTCACTCAATTCTGTCCAGCATACTGGGGTTCTACAACGTCTCCCATACAAAGCTTCATACGGGGCCATCTGGATACTTGCTTTTATAATTGTTGTTATAAGCGAACTCCATTAGCGGTATATATTGTTCCAATTGTTTCCAAAATCGATTACACATCTCTAATCATATCTTCCAGAATTTGAATTGTTCTTTCAGATTGTCCGTCAGTTTGAGGATGAAATGTCGTACTAAAGTTGAGTTTAGTACCTAAGGCTTTCTGCAGACTC